TCAACATTATCAAACATCATCATCAACATTAACATCACAACAAAAACATTAAGATTCAGTTGATGATTATACAATATAACAAATAAAGATACCATATATTGATGTTTATACAATATAACAAACAAAGATACCATGCCAAATATAAAATATAACAAGATACCATACCAAATATAAAAATGACTAAATCGTTTACAAAAAAACACTCAAGACTAGATAGAGTAACATTTCCCAATATGAGATTTATGAGTAATTTTTCCTTTTAGTTAACAAAAAATATAAAATCATTAAACATTAATATTCAAAAAAAAAATGCCCAACATGTTAAAAAAAATTAAAAATTACTCATAAATCTCATATTGGGAAATGTTACTCTATCTAGTCCATAGTGTTTTTTTGTAAACCATTTAGTCCTTTTTATATTTGGCATGGTATCTTGTTATATTTTATATTTGGCATGGTATCTTTGTTTATTATATTGTATAAACATTAACATATTGTATCCCATATTTGTGTATGATGATGTTTGATGAGGTTGAAGATGTAATTGATGTTTGATGATGTTCACAATGTTGGTGATGTTGATTATGTATGATAATGTAGTTGATGTTTGATGATGTTTTATGATGTTGGTGATGTTTGATGAGGTTGAAGATGTAGTTGATGTTTGATGATGTTCACAATGTTGGTGATGTTGGTGATGTTGTAGTTGATATTTGATGATGTCGATGATTTTTTATGATGTTGGTGATGTTGATAATGTTTGATGATGTAGTTGATGTTTGATGATGTTTTATGATGTTGGTGATGTTGATGATGTTTGATGATGCAGTTGATGTTTGATCAATGTTGATGATGTTTTATGATGTTGATGATGTTTGATGATGTAGTTGATGTTGATGATGTTGTTGGTGTAGTTAATGTTGCTGATGTTCGAAAATGAGGAAAATCTAAAAAAGACCTATAGGGAGCTTTTAACATTCAAATAGGATTTATTAGTGTACAAAATAAAAGGCATGACCAAATGGTTTAACAAATTAAAATTTGGAATTTATTGGTGTTTTGCCATAACTAAAAATCATAATTTTATTTGTTTTATTATTTTATAGTTATTTTATATAAAGTTAATTTAACAATCCCCACACTAACAACTATCATTAAAATAAACACAATTTTATTAATCCCCTCACTATCAATTACCTCGTTCTAACTCTGAAAACAAACGGGACGTATAGATTTTGTACTTTGAGAAACTATATGGAGGTTGGAGTTTGAAAAAAAGAATTACCAACACATGGAGATACGTAAGTGATACTTATACCCCCACACCCTTTTATTTACACTCCACCACAAAAAAGAATGGCAATAGGAATCCTATCCTATGGATATCCATGAAAATCGACCCACATATATGATTTTTTTTTAATTATCAATCGAGTAATTAAGTGGTGTTTTCATAGGATATGGGTCGGGATGGGCACCCCCCCATTTCCCCATATGTTGTGTTTAGAACTAGGGTTCTCTTCTCATTCGCACAGTGAGCCTAAGTAGATTTCATTCCAGCATCACTTGGATCTTCTCACTCCAGCATCGGTGATTTGTGAAGGCAACGATCTAGTGGCGGTGATCTCCGTCGGCGCTTACCACGGTGGTTCTCCGGCGTGGTGAGTTTCTCTCTCTCGTTCTCTCTTGTTCTCTCTCTGTTTCGCTTACTAAAATTAAAGACAGATTTCATTGATTTGTTGCTGAACATACATGAAATCCCTCAACAATTCACTGGTTTAATCTGGGTTTGTGTTTTTGATCATGTAATTAATTCTTCATGATCATTGTGATCTGTTTTCGTTTTTCTTGCCAGATTTTTTTTGAACTCACTTCTTGTGTGTGTGTTTACAAAATTCTAGAGAAATTTCTCGGTATTTAATTTACAGTACTGAATTAAAATTTGAATCCTTTTTAGTTCTTATAGCTACTCCAGATTCCATCAATTCTGCTTCCATTGGATGAGATTTCACTAAACGATCTGAAAATTGATAGCAAATTGGTTTAAAGCAATTTAGAAAATGGCTATACATATATATAAGTATTGAGAGGTTTTGATTCATACTTGTAAAGCTTGCAAGATGCAATCTATAAGAAAGCAAAAGGAGGGAATTCAAAACAAATTATTTAAAATAGGGTAATCTTCATCTCATCTTCAGTAAACTAAAAACAAACCAAATGAATGAAGTAATGAACACCCATTTACCAGTCAAAATTTCATCAACAGTACTGAGACTACATTAATCCAATTAAACTTGACTTCTAAATTCAATAAATTTGCTTAATGATCTGGGTGCCCATTATCCCCCCAATACAGCCAAATGGAAAAAAGAAAAGCAACTCAATGAGGAGATAAAGAGGAACATACCTGTATACACATGGTTATTGGAGACTGGAGAGAGAAGAGAAGAGGAGAGAAGATGGACTGGTTCATCTCCAAATTACAACAACATTATTTTATTAGAATGTCTTTAACCCATATTGATTTTGTTATATAAATATATGAAAACAATTTTATCTCATGTTCTTGTGAGCTTATTTGATTATTTTAAAAAAACTTTTTAATTAATTAATGTGTATTTGATTTTGTTGTTGAGCCAAATAAAAAAAATAAGATTGAATGTATATTTAGCTTTGGTTGTGAAAAAAAAAAAAAAAAAAAAAAAAAAAAAAAAAGGGTCATGTTGGGTTGGGGAAATCCAAACCCATTAGGAGATGGAGAGGGTAATACAATTGGGGAATGTGGAAAAATTATTATAAGGGAATGGGGATGGGGAATTAATATGCACCCCATTAACCTCCATTGCCATCCCTAACCACAGACACACTTACATCGCTCATGTATTTATAATTTTTTCCCCTAATTTCAACTTGCATGTACTTTCCCCTTGTATTTTTTCGCTTTGCGTTTGGTTCATAAATTAGAATAAATAAATAAAATAAAATAAAATGTGAATGACTATATAAATCATATCCAAAATAAAACAACATTTTCATTCACTTCCCCTACTTTTATTTTCTAAGGCACCGTTTGGGAAGGAAAACTTGGGCTAATTTAGCCACGCCCCGACAAATTAGGCTGAATCAGCCACGTCCAGACAAAATGGGTTTCACGGGTATGTTTGAAACCCTTATTGGTATAAATTTACCAAAATGCCCTGAAGAGAACCTTCTCAATCTGAGGGACAACGCCTCATCCAAAACACACACATCCTTCCGAAAGCTGAGAAGAACAAGCGAAATAGGCGATTCGGAAAGACCAGCGGCAACGACGACATTTGAACGACCTTCGCAGAGGTGATCGGCACCGAAGTACGCATCCTCAGCGGCTAACAAGAACCAACTCTCTCAAACACAAACCGATTTGCAGGTAATGCTTTATGGCCTATCTGATTTCGTTTCCCTGCTTCCGATCTGCATAGTATGGGTTCATAACGGCATCGGTTCATGACCGATCTGTTTCTTTACGGTCGTGATTGGGTTGATTACGCTTACATTACACACATTTGGGACAGCGAGATATATAAGTATATATATATCTCTGTGAAAAATTATTTCGGATCTGTTCTTATGTTAAAAATCTGTTCGGTTATCACGAAATGTTACGGTTACAGCTCACACATTTGGGGCAAATATGTATATATACATACATATATATATAATATCTGTTCTTATTTATGTATCTGTTCTTATTTATGAAAATTTGTAAAATCTGTTCGGTTTGGGTTCATTACGGTTAGTAACAAACACATTTGGGGCAGATATATATATATATATATATAATTTAATATATATCTGTTATTATTTATATATCTGTTCTTATATGAAAATCTGTAAAATCTGTTCGGTTTGGGTTCATTACGGTTACATTTCACACATTTGAGGCAGATATATATCTGTTCCTATATATAAATTTGTTCGGTTTGAAGGCAGATATATGTATCTGTTCTTATATTTTCATGTGGATCAACCCATGGTAAAAAAACAGTCATTTTCATATTCAACATGTTCTGTTCTTGGCACCTGTTCTGTTCAAAACAGTCTGTTCTGCAATTTTTTTTTTCTTAGAAGTCACATTACAAATTATCAATTTCAGATCACAATTTCACATTTATGGCATTCAACTGTTGACTGATGACATCAATTCTGTGAATGAATATCAATTTCTGTTACAAAATTCTGTTGATTACTTATCATTGTCATGATAAACTTCATTTAAAAATCTGTCAATTACCTATTGATGAGTTATGAAATGGTCTGTCAATGAATAAGGGAAACACATGATCTGAATGGGTTCTGTCATTTGTGAGTCAATACTGGAGACGATGCCTCCATCTGTGAAATACCTATTGATTTGAAGAAAATTGAATTACCTATTGATTTGTCAATGGAGAAAAAAATATTTTGTATACCAATAAAAATAAAGAGCAAGAACTAATTAATGTAAACAAAAAACAAAAAAAAAAGACAAAAACATAAATTTAAAAAAAAAAATCGAAAAATCTAAGCACAATACGCCAAATCCAAACCCAAAATAAAAAAAAAAAGTAACAGGAAAAAAAAATTAAGCAAAATACGAAAAATCCAATCCCAAAATAAAAAAATGAAGAGGAAAAAAAAATTAAAGCAAAATACGTCAAATCCAAACCGAAAAAAAATATATATAATTTAAGCAAAATACGCCAAATCGAAACCCAACATAAAAAAAAAAAACCAAAATATGCCAAATCCAAACCGAAAAAAAAAAAATAATTTAAACAAAATACGCCAAATCCAAACCCAAACCAAAACCCAAAATTAAAAAAAAAAAAAGAGGCAAAAAGAACAATTTGATAATTTAATAAGAAGACACCTTATCAAAAAATTAAAAAATCATTTCGAAACTAAACATTTTAATCCCAAACTAAAATAACAAAAAAAACCAAAAAATAAAGAAACCAAAAAACCAATCCACTTCCCTTCCCAAACGGAGGCTAAATAACTCCCCCAAATCCACGAAATGAACACAACATGGCAAATTAGGGCTAAATTCTGAGTGTCTCCCCCTCTCTCTGTATCTTGCGACACTGGCAAGGCAGTGAATCCGACAATTTTCCCGATCAGTTCTCTTGCGAGTCCGGTCGTCCACCAAAGTTTAGTTCTAGCTTCTAGCTTCCAGGTACCCACTCTCCTTTCCTCTCCTCATCTCCTTAAATGGGTATATATACAAATTGGAAGAAGAAACAAAGGTTGCAAATTCACGAGGGAGGCGTTATCAATAGATGTTTAAGTTTAATCTTTGTTTGAAAGGGTGTCCTTTACTACTATAATGGTTATCTGGACGCTAGACGTTGCAATTTAAGAGATGTGTAATTTCTTCATGTGGCGAAAAAAAAAGTATAGACACAAGTTGGATGTCTTGTCTTCTTATTGGTTACCTTTTTCTTTTTTGGGATTCTCGTATTGATTTCTTTAATTTGATGATAAAACTTATTTCAAAAACTGGGTTGTTATCAGAGTTCTGCAAAATCGCTTTGGATGGGAGGTATAAGTTTCTTGAACACCTTTTGCAGTTGAATTTTTTATTAATGAACAAAACCCTTTTCAGTTTAGTAACCTAGAGGGTCGCACACAATGGAGACACATACATAGAGACATGTATTTATAGATAAAACTATGTTGTTTTGATGTCCACTTAGAAGAATACTAGTTGGCTATGTGCAGTTGGATCGAGAAATCTGTTTTGACTGGACATGTTTCTCTGCCCATGTTATTGTTTGATTATTGTTTTGTGAGACAGTAGTTGTTGTCTTTTTCAATTGATCTTGTTCTGGATGCTGTTGGGATACTGAAATGTTGAGTTACTTTTTGTCACAGTTTAGGGAATCTTGTTGAGGTCTTGTATCAACCATGATTTACACAGCAATCGACACCTTTTATCTAACGGATGAGCAGCTACAAAATTCACCTTCTAGGAAAGATGGCATAGATGAAGCAACTGAAACAACTCTCAGAATCTATGGTTGCGACCTCATCCAAGAAAGTGGCATTTTACTTAAACTGTATCCTTCATTAGTTATTGTTGTTGTTGATGCTGTTATTGTGATAATTAGCATAATTTTATGCAATACTTCCATGGGGTTGCCTGAAACAGGAATTTATCCAATCCACAACAGTGTTACTAGAAAATGCTAACGCCCTGTATTGAAACACATGTTCCGAATTATAATACACTTTTGTTCAAAAATGGTGAATTTAATGATCCTAAGCAATCCCATAATTTTTTTCTATGTTTTTCGTTAAAAGTTCTCCGTAATAGGAAAAAAGTTAAATATAATGAACTGAAATCTAGATGGAGACTATACTATATTGGAGGTCAATTTAAGAAGTCTACCTTATCGTACCACATTTTAGCTCATGTGGTGTACCATGTTCTGATTCCCATTCCTAGTAACTAGAACAATCCGCGTTCTAGGTAACATAGATCCACGGCAACCAAGTGCTACTAAACCAGTATGAATACTATAAATGCAATATGTCTTTTCCCATAGTTAGCTGGTGTTTTTCTTTAATCATATTCTCTGCAGACCTCAAGCAGTAATGGCTACTGGTCAGGTTCTATTTCATCGATTCTACTGCAAGAAATCATTTGCTCGTTTTAACGTGAAGGTTTCATTCTTGTTTCATTGATTTTCTAAATTCAATTGGAAACAGGACAATGTTTACATGCTTTCTGATGTGGGATCTGATCTTATTTACTTGCAGAGAGTTGCTGCTAGTTGTGTTTGGCTTGCATCAAAACTTGAGGAAAGTCCTAGAAAAGCAAGGCAGGTACTCATTGTTTTCCACAGAATGGAATGTAGGAGGGAGAACTTACCAATAGAACATTTGGACACATTTCCTAAGGTTAGATTCCCTTCTCGTTATATTAGGACATTGTACTGTCAAAAACATGAATATTTTTGTCTATTTAGTAATGAAAGGTATCCATTTTTTTTTTCTCCATCTTTGCTTTTATTGTTTTTTTGAGGATTAAGTATTTAGTTTTGGAAGACCCAGTCAGTCACAGAGCCTGATGCGTCTTCTTCTCAAAGCAAGTTGTTATCTTTGGAATTGAGTTTTGCCTGTTTACAGAAATATGCAGAGTTGAAAATGGACCTGAATAGAACAGAGAGGCATCTTCTGAAGGAGATGGGTTTCATCTGCCATGTCGAACATCCTCATAAATTTATATCAAACTACCTTGCAGCCCTTGAGACACCCCCAGAACTGAGACAAGAATCTTGGAATCTTGCAAATGACAGGTAGCTCTGAATTATTAATATAATTTTTTTGTACCTATTTCAGTTTGATGGTTCAATCATTTAACTTGGTAGCTTTAAACTCAACCCTAATAAATCTGACTTGATGCATGGGGTAAAGTCTGTGGCTTCTATAAGTTCCTGAGTTTGCTTTTCTACTTAGAAGTTTTGTTGCAATCCTTTTGACTTGCTTCTTGTTGAGCCTTGATGTTGATGATGAACTGTTTTCGATATTTTTTGTCCCATTAGATTGGTTTATTTATTTTCCAAAAACTGTATAGCTCTCAGCAATAGTTGAATGCTTGAATTTAACATGTAATTCTAAAATTAACATGTTTTGTGGTTTAACGAAGACTAACTTATGGTGCATGCTTGAATTTGAGTATAAGGGAACTACTTTGTGAAAATAATGTGAAATGATAGGTCTATACTTAGGATGATGCTCCCAACATCCTACCAACCATGGATAGTGGTCAATTTTTTACAATGTGAAATTTGATATGCTTATTTATTCATCTCTATCATGTATTGATGATTTCTCACCATTTGGCTTTTCTGTATACCTTTGACATTTTGGATGGATTTGTTTGTGCTTGTGCATAAGCAAGCAAGTTTTGTTTTGGTTTTGAACCCCAGCTTTGTATAAAAACACTTTTTATCTGCTTGTTTATATACTATCACTGTGTTAGAGAAAAAATTATGTTAATTTGTTTTTCCATTGAGGTTCTTGGACAGATAGGCACATGTGATTATTGATAGGGGTTGCTTAAAACTACAAGGAGTGAAAGCTTAGCGGCTGTTTTTTAGAACTGAAAATTCTACACAGCAAATTTTAGCACCAAAAGTAGATTTAAAAGGTGAAAGGATGAGACAGAATAACATGTCCTTAATGTGAAGTTGTTGAATAAGGCAATTATAAATGAGAAATGGTTCATTATTTATTTTTGATGGTGCATTATTTTGTTCATATGGCTACTTGTCAAAGAACAGAAAAATTATTCTTGTTATTCCTGCTATACCTGTTAGCACTCGTTTGTTTAGGTGCTTCTTCATCGACTATCCTTTTTCTTGATCAGTTTGCGTACGACTTTGTGTGTGCGGTTCAAGAGTGAGGTTGTGGCCTGTGGGGTTGTATATGCTGCTGCTCGTAGATTCCAAGTACCCCTTCCTGAGAATCCACCGTGGTGGAAAGCATTTGATGCAGATAAATCTGGGATTGATGAGGTTTGTAGAGTTCTCGCCCATCTTTACAGCCTTCCTAAGGCAAAATATATACCTGTCTGTAAGGATGGGGATTCGTTTACAACGTCTAATAAATCGTGGGATTCACCATCTCAGCCAGTTCCAAAGGTGAATTCTCATTCTCTCTCTGTCTCTGTCTCTGTCTCTCTCACTCACACACACACACTCGCACTCTAGCCCAGTGTGCTTGCATCCATTTGCAGAGGAGAAAAAGTTAATAAAAAGAGAAGTTTCTGCTGTGGTGGTGCAATTTCCTTTGTTGTATTTTGTACAGCTGTAATGGTTGCCAACATTGGCAGAGCCACATATTGCATGTGCCCCTCATTTTTTTGAAAATTATACTTTTACACTGAATTAAAAATGTTTTTCAATTTGCTCTTTTGAAGTTCCAAATATGTCGCTTCAATCTTTCTACCTCCTATTTTGTTTACTTGTCCTTTCCAACAAAATCTTTGCACTTGCCACTGTAAATGTTTAATTTTTCTACATTAAATTTTTCTTATAAATTTTGTCTCTGTGTGCGCGCGTCTTGATGTAATTTTATCTTTATTTTTTACGGACGTGTGATTGCGTTTTAAATTATGATGATTATCATGTTTAGAAATTGAACAAAAAATTAAATTAATAATAAAAGAATTTCAAAAAAGAAAAATGATTTGTTAACTCAAGAACAACTCTGAAATATAACTTTGGAATCACATTGATCTTTAGTCATTCTACCACCAAATGAAAATTGGGTTCAGTTGGATTGTGATAAATCATGCCAAGGCTTCAATTTAATGTTGCCCCCCTAGCCAAAATCCTGGCTCCGTCACTGTTTGTCAACTTTATCACTACTTACTGCATGTCATTAATGAATGGGATGGGTTTTATTTAATTTCTTAGGAGAACAAAGAAAAACACAAAAGTGGGAATCAGTAAACTTCATTTCTTCTTTAGGAAGCTTGGTTAGTGATTTGATTTTTCCTCATTCCTCTTTTGCTTAGGAAGGTTCGCTAAGTGTCCCGCCTGCAAATAATGATACCAGTACTCCCAAGGCAGCTCCGGCCACAGCTAATCTGGAATCTGGTGGGTCCAAGGGTGCACTGATAAAAGCAGCACTTGACAAGTTGAAAGAGTCTAAGAAGAGTGGTGATGATTCTGAAAGCGTGCCTGTTGAGGCAGAGGCAAAAGAAGAACCTGTATCCAAATTGAAATCTGAGCGTAAGATGGACGCAAGTGGGGAAAGGAACAAGGAGAGGGATTGGGCTAGGGACAGGGAAAGGGAGAAGGAGAGGGACAGGGACAGGGACAGGGAAAGGGAGAAGGATAGACTAAAGGTACGGGACCATGATAGGGGAAGGGATTCTGACAGGGAACGAGAGCGAGAGGACATTGAAAGGGAAAGAGAGAAAGTCAAGGACAGAGGTCACCGTTCTAAGGACAAAGGAAAGGATTCAGGTTAGTTTATGAATTCTTGACAGTTATCACTTTTGAAGCATGGACACCTCCACGGACACACCCCAGACATGTGTTGGACACGCTAGACGAATTGCCCCAATTTTTTTATTTTTTTTCCTTTCCTAGTTGGACACGTTAGGGAAACATGATGTCCCATTTTTTAATTTATTTTTATCAAGTAAAATACCTATCATTGATAAATTTGATGAGATTAAATTTTTGATATAAAATAAATATATAAAGTTGGGCTAATTACACATACCTCTTTTCTAGTTTATGAAATTACACTAATCTCCCTTCCTGAGGTCAGGGGAGGTCCATGTAATTAACCCTATAAAATTATATGTTTTGCACGTGTCCTCCGCATGTTATCGTGTATTTTTTGAAAACTTGTATATCTGTCATGTCACATGTCTGTGCTTTTTAGGTCATCACCAAATCCCTGCAGTTACAATTCTATTTTACATTATTTTTTGGGTGCTACTTTCTTTCAATGGAAGTTGTATATCTGATCTGTCATCTTTATAAATGCAGGAGGGCATTCAGATAAATCGAAGCATCATTCATCTCGAGGTTGGCATTCTATTTTTCTTCAAATGTTGATTCTAATAGTATGCTTGGTATATATTTTTCTTAGTAAAGAACTGAATTCTAGCTTCTGCCCATATTTCTTCTGCAGATCGTGAATACCATGGCTCGTCTTATTCAAGGGACAAGGATCGTCACAGACATCATTAATATTCTTGAAATCCGATTTCAAGGTGTGCCTGTATACCATTTCAAGTTTTAGCTCCCCAAAATACTGTAGTTGCGTATAACCTTGGTTTGATTGAGCTGTTAGTCTGCTAAATGGGAACTTGAATGGTGTGAAAAATCTAAAGATTGATTAGTGATCCCTTTATTGGGTAAATTACACTTGCCACCTTTAAGTTTGATTATATTGCAAGCAGCACCTGGAAGTTGGGGCGGGTCCAAAAATATCTTGTGGGAGAATGTGAATGTGATTTTAAATCTCTATGATTCTAGCGTTTGAAATAGATTGGAATTAAAAACTGATTATTGATTAACTATTTTAGTAGAATCCATATTATTCTTAAACGAAGTAGATTCCTCTACTATTTGCATTAGTTTCGGCCGCTTTGTAGTCTTAATAAAAGAGAAGTTAGTGTAATTATGTCAATTGTGTGATTTATAGACATGATTAACCTCTAGATTTTAGAAAACCAGTATGTCATCTTTTTCAGAGAACTTAAAGAGGTGTTTGAATCATTTACACCTATCATTAAGAGAGTAGTAAATGAGAGTTCCTATTGTAAAACAGAATACAAATTCAACATCTGCATCATGAAAATCTTTTAGTTGAAATAATTGGCCAACCAATTTATCTTTTTTGCTTTCTCCCACAATTGACTAACCAAGTAATCTTTTTAAATTTTTTTATTTGCATAGGTGAGCTTGATTGAATCCCGTTTTTTGGCAAAATTAGTGACTGAATTCCAATTTCAATTGCGCCCACCTTGCAAAGAGCAAAGTTGGCTTGATCAGTGCGAAGGTTCAAGACTTAACCGAGCCTTAGCAGAACATTAATTGTTGTTTTTTTTTCTTTTTTCTTTTTAAGTGCTGCTATACATCTACTGATCTTTAGCATAGTCTTATTTCACAGCATGCATTGTATGATCATGGAAATAACTTGCTTGGCTCTTTTTTATATTTTATCTTTTATATAATTTATTTTAAATTCAAATCAATCACAAGTGTATCTCAACCCAACAAAATTGGACAAATAGTCAATTACTTGCAACATTTTTTTGTTTCTTTCTATGTGCATGTACTATGTGGTTACATTGTCCTGCTGCAGAATGCTATGGTTGACCCTCAGGCCCATCACAATTATTTCCTTCTCTGGTTGAAGTTCATCTCTGTGGAATTTCCCAGCATGCATTTCTTTTTCTTTTTAAGGTCCTGTTTGGGTGGAAGGTGTTTGTCATATTGCTAATAGAAAGCCTTCTTTTTTTTCTTTTTTTTTTTGTGTTTGTCTTTAGTGATATTCTTTTTTTTATAATTATGTAAAATTACTTTTCTGGTCTATGTATGAAAGAAATTTCCAAAAAAAAAAGGGCTAAAAAAGTAATTTTAGTTATTTCTATTTTTTATGAACTTTTTAAAATTTAATTTTTAAATTTTTTTGAAATTAATTTCACTGAAAAATAAACTCCAATCACCCAAACTTAAAAAAGCTAGACCATTAGCCAACAACAGGGAAGAACATTTTTTTAAGCAAAATTTGGATGTGGCATTTAAGTTTTATTTTATAAAAAAAGTTTCATTGAGAGTTTTTATTAGTTGAGAATCTAAAAGAAAAGGATAAATTACACTGACATCTTTCAGGTTTCTGTTTAAATACAAATCTCTTCTTACATTTGAAAAATTACATTTTTTTTTTGAGGTTTATAATCTCATTACAATTGCTCTCTAAATGATTGATGTTATGCCTTCAAATTTTTTAATTGACCATATCGCCTTTTAATGATATTTTTTGTATAATTTTTTATATATGAGTATAATTTTTTATTTTTATTTCTACCATTATATTTAGATTAGATCAATTTAATTTAGATATATTTAAAAAGTATAAATTTTGTGCACAAAATTTTTAAAAAATCATTGAATATAGCAAACAAGATAATGCATTGAATTTTTATATTTTTGTTTTTGGTGAATTTAAAAAAAAAATCATAAAATATTATACTTCTTAAGTATATCTAAATAAGGTGTATTTAAAAAATAAAATAAAATGCTTAAGATATTAAAAAAAATCAGTAAAAATAAAAAAATAAATACGAAAAATTAAAAAAAAAACTCAATTTTTTGTGTAAGTTAAACTAAAAAAGATGATTGTTATTTCCCTTGAAATGACGTGAACAAAATATCTGCATTATTTTATATGAATAAAAATTAAAGATAAATATGTCATTTAATTTGGCAACGAGATTAGTGTAATTTTTTAAATATGAGGGGAGATATATATTAAATAAAAATCTCAAGAGATATCAGTTTAATTTACCCAAAAGAAAAAAAGCGACTTACCTAAAATTTCCCAATAACAAAGACGATTTTTGAAGATTTTTCATAACACAAAAAAAATGTTTGAGACCCTTAAAATATTTTCATGATTGCATATATAATGATGTTGCATGATATGTGTAAATTTTTTATTTGTTAGAACGTCTCCAACGCTTAACACGTTCCTTTTTTCTATTCCAACCATGACTTCAAACCCATATCAAATGAAGGCGAGACCAGAAATCAAGGGAGCGTTAAACCTTTCATCAAATTTTGTAGGCAACCATTGGTGGACGACCGGGTAAACGACCGATAGAACATCTGAATGAATGACTGCCTTGGCAAAATTTTGTTGAAAATTTGCTTTAAACCGGACGATTGGTCGGATAATCAACTGGATGACCAACCAGATTTAATGAAGCGATTAAAGCATAACATATCAGATCAAACTTTTACTCAAATTTTAATTTGAGTAAGCGTTGGAGATGCACTTATACATCAATAATATTAAGCCAACTCCTCATCACATCATTATAAGTGAATTTATAGATCTAAAAATGTGAATCTTTAACATAATAAATAAATGATTTACCACTAGCTATCCTTAAAAATAAAAAAAATGATATTTGACAAACCCAGCGTTAGTTTAAATTACGCTTAAAGCTTCTAATATCCCTTGGGGGGGGGGGGGGGGGGGATTTGAAATCTTGAAGAGAAAATAACCAAAAAAATCTCAACTTCTATTTCATTTTTTTCTAATTTATTTCCCTTCTACAAATTCAAAACCACAACACAACTTTAGTTAATACTAGGCGATTGCAATTGATCATGGTTAAGGAACCCTGTTTTTCCCGAGTTGGGTTGCTGTCTTCCCTCTCAGATACCACAGGTTGAAAGAGTATCCACCAACTTGAAATGAATGATGGCATCTACAACGACAATGAAATCAGATCCAAACAATTGGAATCCTCCCATCCCGTCTACTCTCATGCCGCTCTGAAGCTTTCTGACAAACGATGGTAGTAACGTTTTTGCTGCACCCCATACAAAACAGAGAGATTAGAAAGCCGAGAAAAGGCGAGCTGTATAAGGGGACAACACACATGAGCATCAAGAAACAACTAAGCAAGGGTAACTCCCAAACCTTGTCTGAGACTGATGAAGAGATTTTTTTCAGTGCCTGCTCAAAATGTGTTTTCTTGATAGTCAATGAAATCGAATGATCAGCATCTGAACTGCTTTGGGGCGTCAGTTTCTCTTCGAGTGCAGCCATGGCTGCTTCATTCATCTAGCATTGACAAAAACAGAAATTGAGCAGTCAGGAAAAGCCCAACCACGAGCCACACTTGGCACAAGCATGCACATGCACAATGGCAGAGTTGAGTGTGCAGACCCAAGTGAGAATGGTTTTAAACAAGTATCTAGATACATATGGGGAGACCAAACTTCCGTTACATATTGTATTGATATTTAAAACCAAGAGGAGGTAGCATTTCTCGAAAACAAAATATGAAATTAACACAATATAGTTGAACTAGTGCAGAAAGATCAGCTCCGCTAAGGTTTTCGCAAGCTTCATCACTCCCGATAGTAATTAAATCCACACTAGCATCTATAGGCTTCTTCCTAGCAAGAGCTTTTAAGATCAACCCACGTTCATCTGGACTGGGCAGAGGGACATAAAGGAGTTTGCCAAACCTTCCAGGCCGTAACACAGCACGGTCCATCACTTCAGGTCTGGTATGCATTTTGGCAAGATCAGATATGATGACTTGGTAGACAAAAGACAATAGTATTTTGCTATCAGAGCAAACTTTAAGAAAAAGAACTGAGATCACATGTTTGTGGCACCAATGACGTAAACACCACGTCGCTGATCTGCACCGTCTAGCTTTATCAGTAGCTGCATAATAAGAAATGAATTCATTGTCAAATCCATAATCTGATAATAAAGTTTTGATAAAGGAAGCATTAGGGTGTGACTCAGTCCCCTAGTGTTGGTGCAATTCTCTTTTTGTGACAAAACCCATTCACAAACCAAGCAAACCAATCCTTGTGACATTTGTTCCGGTGTGGTTTTTGTGGTTCGTTGGTTCTCGTTCGGAAAGTTTTCTTCCCCAACTCATTATGCATTTCATTAAAGACGTAAGATGAGTAGGTGAGCATAAGTGAATTCAGATACCGAATAGGTAAATTTGTTAGACCTGGTTCAAAAGCCACTCAACAACCCAGCCCCCCTCCTTTCCACGCTTAATAGTCAAAGCATCCACCCGCAGATGTTGAAGGGACAGATGAGCACAAGTTAAAAACACTGACAGTAATGACTGATACAAAGACCAATTCTATAGGTATATAATTGTCAACCAAACCCATTAAGGATTTTGGCTAAAATAAAACAACTCATCTGAACATGTGAAGTTCAGCTAGCAGCAAGCCCTGTCCGGCCCATGTTTTATAACAGAGTGCAGATCATTATTGGACCATTTTTTTTTTTTTTTTTTTTCTTCATTGTTAAACTGAAAAGGGCAGTCTATATACAATTACACTATTATATAGTTGGCTTAAATTTTAGTCCTATGAAATATAAATGGAGACCAAGAAGGGAAAAAAAATCCCAAGAGAGAGATGAATGAATAAAATTTACATGAAGGGCTTGTGATGTGAATGGCTCTGTCCTTTCTGCATTGACAGGAGTATGGAATTGCCGTTCTTCCCTATCTTGCAATCATGGCCAAAAGTAGATGTAAAGTTTGATGAAGAAGGGAGGTCCATGATTCCATAATTATGTAAATGCATCATTGTTATGTTGAAAGAGGTCCATATTTTCATAATTTAAGTCAGAAATATTGGGAATAGTACCAACAGTAACAAGCCACTTACCTCATCAAAGAAAAGTATGCACGGGGCACATGTTCTTGCTCGGCTGAATATTGTCCTAACAGCCAACTCGCTTTCACCAACATATTTGTTCAGCAGTTTAGGGCCCTTTACCGGTGAACATAATTTAGAAATTACAGTTGAAATTAGCATGTTTAAACAAAAGATTGGACAGTGAAAATAAAGTGACAAACCTTGATATGAATGAAATTGGCTCCAGCCTCATTGGCAACAGCCTTAGCAATCAATGTTTTCCCACAGCCTGGAGGTCCATAAAGCAAAAATCCTGTCTCTAGATCTACCCTGAATCCCTGAAAATGCCAGCTAAATCTAAGAACACAAACCTTATGATGTCAAAAACATAGGATGACTCTCTACTCTACCCTTATGTTGGTTTCCCTCTGCACCATCTTGACGGTGATTTATAATTTGACATTTAAATGTAATAATTACCTCATAATCCTCGGGATATTTTATACGCCAAACTATGTAACGGTCAAACTCCTTCCTTAACAAATGGAGCCCTCTGACATCTTCCCATTTTACATTAGGAATGGCAAAAAATCCTTCTCTTCTTGTAGAGGGTTGAACCATTTTAGCTGCTTCCTGCAGGTAACATGGTTTTGTGATGGCCATCATTTTATCAGTAAATCAATCACAAAATAACTCATTCAAAATATAAAAAAAAAATTATTTTTAAGTATAGACAACAAAATAAGTAGTCAATCTCAATTTCAGATATGAAAAATGCTACATCATAAAACCATTATACAACATCCAGCAATTCTACATGTTCAACTACATGCACATTCAGATTAAAGGAATTTCCCATTGAAGCACAAAAGGGAACTGTTAAATCATTAAACTCAACTAAAATTTAGATCGCTGAAGTATCATGAAGAAAATGAAGATACTTCTTCCAAAGGATGATACTGATAAGACAAACATGTATTGAGAAGAAGCAACATCAAAATTAAAAGTATGTTGCATTTTCGAAATATTAATAACATTAGATAGCATTCATTCAAAAAATTCAGATACCTCAAAATCAGCCATAGTGATGCTAAGATTTTCCATCTCTTCAAGCAGCCATGGATGCCTCCACCAGTCTTCAGTATGATCCACATCTGTAGGTTCTCCAGATAGATCAGACTTTCTTCTGTCAATAATTCTCTTTATAGCAAGGTTACCAGCCTTGTTAGTTAGAGCCGCCAAGTCAGCCCCAACAAACCCTGGCGTGGACCTGACTATTTTCACAAGATCAAAAGCACCCTCAAGTCTAAGATTGCGTGTCAGAGCAAAAAGAATCTCAACCCTTGCATTTTCATCTGGAACACCTAAAAAAATCTCACGATCAAATCGTCCAAGCCTCCTTAATGCAGGATCAACCGCATCAGGCCTATTGGTAGCTCCAATCACAAGAACATAGCCTGGTCTGCAATCAGAACTTTCTGCATTTGTGTTTGCATCGGCCGGTTGTACAAGCCTGTGTGATTCATCCATGCAAGTCATCAACTGTGTCACAATCCTTCTCTCCATCTCCCTCTGTAGATTCTCTCGTTTTGAAGCAATTGCAGCAATCTCGTCAATGAATACAATAGATGGTGCTGTTCTATCTGCTTTCATAAAAAGATCCCGAATGTTTTCTTCCGATGCACCTGAAATATTTACCACAAAAAATACAATAATTATAAGCATTAGAAAGCTTCTCCATCACAAAGCTGAGCCCAGGGAAGCAAGAAGACCAGTAAATGGTTTCTTGGAGCCAGCAATATGCAACAATTGCCATCTCATGAAAACTTGATTTGATAAAAGTTTGATGAAAGGATTGAATCTCATTTTCAACAAAAATTTCATCAAATTTAAATTTGACAAAGGATTTGATGAAGGATTGGAGATAGATACTCTTACCTTTTTATTCATCAATTGGTTAAAAAATTGGTTAAAACTTAAAAGCTTGATCTCATATGGGATGCTCCATTAGTTTTTTTTAATCAAAATTAACTAACAAAAAACTTGATTGGTGAGAAAATTGAATGCACCAATCCTCACTCTGTCAAAATTTTCATCAAAATCCTTTTCAAAAACTCCAAGCTTATCCTAGAGCTTCTTTATCAAATTTGGTGAAAAACTTGTTTTTGCCTGGATTTCATGAAATTTTTTGGTGAAACTAATCAAACTAAACCAAGTAGAAAAATATTTATATATTATTGAATAGAAACACTAATTAATACCTGAAACACCAGAGACCAATTTCTTAAAGAATGGAACACCAGTCTCATTAGCAATGGCATGAGCAAGCTTCGTCTTTCCACAACCTGGCGGACCGTGCAACAAAATCCCCGCCATCGGCCTCACTCCGAGCCACCTCAGTAACTACGGATGATACAATGGAACTATCACCTCCATCTTCAATTCCTCCACAACTCTACTCATCCCACCCAAATCCCTGAATCTTGGCCCATCCTTTTCTTTCACCTCTTCACCACCACCACCATCGTCATCACCATTCAAACCTTTTTCAAATCTTTTCATATCTCCTTCAAGCAAATCAACCTTATCATCAGCCTTATTGTTAACAACCAATTCCACCTCCACATTCTCCTTCAATTTTTCAGCATCCTTCAGATTCATCTTCATCATCTTCTTCTTCTTCTTCTTCGTCGTCGAAGACGAAGTTTGATGTGGACGGACGACCTTGATTGCTTGATGTAATGCTCGTCGATTTGATGTGTTCTAGGGTTTTTTGAACGGCAGTTGTGAAAGGTTGGAGCTTTTGACGACTGTATCCTGGGAAGTTCGAGCGAAGGTGGCTGACGATTTCGTCGACGGTGGCGTATTTGTGCCTGTTGCAGGACTCGATGTGGCAGCGGAGGACTCATTCGAAGTCCGTCGAAGGCGGCGATCCACCGCCTCTTCTTCTCCTTCCCATTTTCATCTCTCTCTAGGGTTCAGAGCTCAGTTGAAGGGCGGGGGGAGAGAGAGAGAACGAGAAGGGTTTTGACTGAGTTATGAGTTTGGGAACTCGGGCGAGTCAACTCAGTGCTGTGGGCTGCGAGGCTGGTTCGGAGATTACATGGGCTAGACAGCTTGAGCCCGTATTTCAATTATAAGGCCTATAGGCCCGTAGGGTTGTACTTTAAAATTTTTGCAGGAATTAGAAATTATATCACTAGTCATTTGAATTTTTATAATTTTATAATTTACAATTCTCTGGAAAAAAAAAAGATCCGTTTGTAATTGTGTACTAATCAAGAAGTCCTCCATCTATTAGATCGAAACTATTATAAAACTATTGTCTAAAATATAAGAGTAAAAGTGAGAGAAAATAATTATGTGTCCCTTTATAATTGAAATAACACACCACGTATGATATAAGTTAAACCTACATAAAAAAATTAAAATTTTTCACATTAGACATTTAAAGATTGGGATTGAGTCTCAAAAATCTTCTCCCATCTCCGTTTTTGACAATGTATGATAAATTATATTTTCAATTGTTATTTGAATTTTATTTTGTTTCCACATCTTCTAATAGTAAACAAGTACAGAAAATCTTTATACTTCAATTCATGTTTTAATATAGTCTTCCTCTCACTCACTGTTAAATAAAAATTTGGATAAAAAGTATGTGTAGGTTGCAAGAGTATGTTTTGGAGACATTGGAGTAAAAAAATTATAAAATAAATTACACATTTTTACCTTTAATTATAAATAAATAGAAAAATCACTCAAATTTCACATAGAGAGCCCCTCTAATAATTATAATTCAATCCTTTTAGTTTCTCTTGTTTCAATTTTCACTCAAATTTTAAAACAACTTATATTTGAAAAATTTATTTTAAAATAACATGAATTGGAAAATAATTCGCCACACACAAGAGTTCACATTTATAGAAGATCATGAATGCATATATGTGTTCCTTCATTTCATTGATCAAGGATCTACAAAAGACTACAACAGGACCAAAAAGACTTTCACCTTTGAAAGGGTTACTAAAAACACTTCAAAAGGAAACACAAAGATCCTAACTTGAGTTTTGGAAAGGAAAAAAAAATAAAAAATCAATCAAGATAAACTTTAACATCAATACCATTGTCAATGAGAGATTGAACAACAGCTCTTATCTTCCCTTCAAACTTATCCCTCTCCCTCGGAGTATACGAAGCCGTGTAGACATCCGCTTCTCGTGCTCTCTCTGCTAAAATCCGTCCTACGGCCAAACACGCCGGTATATCTGATCGCGACTTGAGTGCGGCTTTGATGTCTTTGGAGTTGGTACCAGCAACCGCAACTTGCTTGCTCGTCACCCTGTGAGTGAACGAGGCCGAAACAAAGCGTTTAGATATGAACACGTCAAGCGTAAATGGCTCCATGTAAGCTATTGTACGTTGTTTGAAGGATACGTGCTTATCTGTATTCTTCGACTTCTTCGACTTCTGATATGTGTATGGCCGGCTATTGTCATCGTCGAGATAATCCTCTACCCCAAAAAAGCTTCTTGGTCCCAAAGAAGGCTGTGAAATTATAAAATGGGTTAAAGATATAAAAAGGGACAAATACATCAAAGTCAGATTTTGAACAAGAAAACTTCAAATTCTTTCACAACAAATTGTACAAGTTTTAGAGCCTGTAAGATTTTTGTTTTATTGATGACAGGGTAAATTACACTAATCACCCTTGTCGTTTGAAAAAAAATAAAATAAAATAAGCTCTACAAGTTTATCGTAATTACATTAAACACTCTTTTAGTAAGGCTAAAACAAGCATAACTAATGCAGTTGGTGTGTAAACACATGAATAATCAATGACAAAATATAGTGTAAATGTTATGATATTATCATATCCTAAGAAGTACGGACACGGACACGTGACACAATATGGACACGCAGACATGTAAATTTTCAAAAAAATGTAGGGCACGACACGTTAAGGACACGTTCAAAATATATATTTCTATTATATGTATATTTTTAAATGTTTAATATATATTTCATGTCAAATATTTAATTTTATCAAATTTATCAACCTTAGATATGCTATTTTAGTAAAAAAATAAAAAATAATAATTTTTTTTGAAAAAAATAGTACTTAGCATGTCCCTAGCGTGTCCTCAACGTGTCCCATGCGTGTTCTCAGCATGTATCCGTAGTGTCCAAAGTGTTCCAACGTATCCAACTCTTTCCAGCTTGTCCGACACTTGTCCAGAGCGTATCCATGTCTAACATGTGTAGGACGCCTGTACACGACCTCCAGAAAGGTGTCTATGCTTCATAAATCATATCATAATATCAAATTTTTTTTTCAACTAGACGAATTACTAATTACTGATGAAAAGTGTTACATGAATGAAATTCACAGGGATACAATGTAATTATGCCAAACTTGTGGGGGCTTGGCATATTTTTCAAACCTCAAGGGAGGTCAATGTAATTTATCCTTGATAATAAAATCATTTTACCTTTGACTACAACTTGGGTGCCAAAATCACTGCCCTCAGTTGTCTTGGTTTTAAGTTATCATATTAAAATTTCAGAGCAAGAGCGGAGATTTCAGAAGCAAGTTAAATCAATCAAGAAGTTGTAAGTGACTAGAACAAGAGTGTTTTAACAATTTTAAGAACATAAAAAACCTAAAAAATAGCAGAGATGCTTCAACCGAGTAAAAGCAAACCAATTCACACCTCAACAATAACAAGCGCTTTTTGAGGGGGAAAATGGACCACTACGACACCAACCTTTTCAAATTTGCATAGCTATTTGGAATGCAAGCCAGACTTCTAACTGTTGCATCTCAAATCTATTATGCTACAATAAATCTTCATTCAACATAGTTATAGCATGATTCTTAGATGTTTTCCTGGAGTGTCAAGTTCAATGAACTATAATCAGCATGAAAATGAGTAGCTAACAAAATCTTTCAAAACTCACAATGATTTTAACTATTATATTCAGTCATAAGCAAGACGTAACTAAATTGCCTGAGGATCTCGACTTTGTTGATGTAAAATGGCATCCTATTCACACGGCTTACCTTGCAGTTTCTCGAATGTGAATATCAACAATGTTTTATACGGTTAATTAAGATTTTCAGGCCATATGTCATATTATAAGGACTGGATTCACTTTCTAGACCCGTATTTGCCACACTACTTGATTTGATCATTATAACAAATTACTCATTATCCACAACAAGTCTTTCAGATCCCAAAAAATTCATTGGCATGTTGTTCTCATCACCACACCAATGTTTTCTTGGTTCTAAGGTTGGCAATAGCAATACATTACGAAAAGAGAGAAGCAAAATAGCGTCTATACTATGTCCATAAACAATGGCAAGAATGAACATTGCGAAGGACTCAATAGCAATAACATCAAATTATTGGAAATCAAGCTAAAAAAAAATTTTTGTTGAACATAGCTAAACACACAATTCAAACTAACATAAAAATGGTAACTTTTGCCCCCCAAAAAACATAACAGACATAAAATTTACTAATTGAAAGATTGCTACTGCTGCATTAATAGTCAGCTTTAGGGTGCCAAAAAAAATTATCATGATCCATATTCTATAGAAAGTTGATTCAAGAGAAAAATATATCCCGTACCCTCAAAACAAAATTCAAGAGTGTACCTGGCCACAGTGAATACCTCTTGTTTGTGAATACAAACAAAGCCTAATTTTATCACCTCCATGAGCACATAACTTGTGATATGCTTGCTTCAACATGGTTCCAAAAACCAAACTCCTGTTAGAAAACAAACAGCAGTTCCATTAGTCGCACTACAATTTCAACAGAAAATTATGATTCCAATATGTGCATCAACATACATTGTTATAAGACCAAGCTTTTTAGACACTACAATTTCAATGGGAAATTATGATTCAACAGACACCTACGCTATGTTTGGATTGAGTGATTTGGAGAGAAAAGAAAAAAAATGGAGTGATATGTATTTGTCCTATTTGTTTGGATAATCTAAGTAGAGAGAAATGGGAAGAAATGGAGAGAAATGGAGAGAAACTCATTTCTCTTATAAACCTCATTTTCAATCTTCCCAAAAGTGGAGAAATTGAGAGAGAAAAGAAATCATTATTTTTATAATACCAATTTTGTCCCTATAAAAATAAAAGAAATAAAATGATTGAAAATATAAAAAAGTTATTTTGGTAATATAACATAAAATAATTTCTTTTCTTTTCTCTTAATAAAATCTAACCAAACAAGAATGAGAGAAATCACAATCATTTCTTTTCTTTTATTTCTTCTTTATCCAAACAAAAAAGAGAGAAATCACAATCATTTCTTTTCTTTTCTTTTCTCTTATTACTTTATTACTTAAGTAATCATTTTTTTTTTCTCTCCTAGGTTCCCAAACTTAGTGCTAATAATAATATACTAAAAATCCCAGGGTCCAAAATTATTTCTTTTTGACATTTATTCGAACACAAAAGAGACATTGTAGTTCCATTTTCTGTTTCTATACTAGTTCATTTACATTGGCAAATTCGGCACAAATTAAAATTTCAAACTTTATGCCTCAAATTTGCTGATAAACACACAATCATCAAACAACAAACGAATTGGGTCAACCCAGTCAGCTAAAAAGAATATCAAAAAAACCCAAATCGAGTACTCATTCACCGAGTAACAAAACACCCATTAGTTTTCCATAATCACATCCATATATAAAGAAACAACTGAATTGATTAGGTATATTGGGTCTGACCCAATATGGGTCGAAGTCTGTTTGATCACAGGAAAAGCTTACCTGGTTCGATTGTGAAGTGTAAACAATGACACAAGTTTTGTCGACTGACGGTTACGAAACGGAGTGGAAGTTCAGTCCAGTTCCGGGCGGCGGAGAAGGGTGGTGCTGTCGAGGCGAAGTGCCTGAGAATGCCGTCGGCGAGTGACCGCGAACTCTACGGTACGCTTCGTGGATGGTGTCTGCCTGGTTATTTTCTCAGGAACCAAACAAACACCCGATTCTCAAAGCCTAAACCCTTCGAATATGAAGATTTTCGAAAATCCTATTTTTTTAAAAAAAAATAATACAAATTTATTCACATTAACTTAAAAATTACTCAGAAATTAATTTCTACCGCATTCTATGTGGAGTCCATATAAATCTCATACTACACAAATTAATCTAAATATTATACTACACAAATTAATCTCTACCAAACAATCACTCACTTAAGAAATTCTGAATAGATAAGTCTGAGTCCCTTTAATAAAAAAATTTGATTGTAAAAATAAAAATTAAATTACATTAACCTAATTTAAAGTTTAGAGAAAAAAAAAGACGACACTTTCTCACAATTTTTACATAATTATATTAGACTATCTTGATATTTTAATTTTTATATATTACTTTTAGTTCATTTTCATCAATAATTTATTTCATTAGTCATATGAACGAGGAAAAAAAATATTATCATTGTTTTTATACTTAAATATATATTTATTCTTATTTTTTTTTATGCTATTTGCTTTCTATTTGTTTAGTCTAATAGGCATTTTACCTATCTAAATATTACTATAAAGTATACATTTTATTTTGTCTGTCAACTATTATATGTTTCTACTCCAACCATGCTCTTTATTTTAGCTATTCATCCAAATACTATTAACTTCATAGAATGCCACGTCAGCGACAAAAATGGAGGGAAATAATCCTAATGATTAAATACATTTTGCCTAACCTTGAAGGATAGCTACTTGTAGCTAGTGAATGTGAGTTGAGCCAAAATGCCTAATCATATACCTAGTGCATTGGAGTTGAAAAAAGTGAGTCACATTAGGCATTTTGACTAACAAGCATCATATGCCTAGTGGGTTGGAGATGCTTAGAGGACAAGTCGATCTAATTATGTTAAAACTGCAAGATTTACTATATTTTGTCCAAATCACAAAAGATATTAATGTAATTTACTTAAAATATTACTTTATGATTTTTATTCTCCAACTTATAATTTATTAATAAAAAATTGTTATTTAATTTAAAAAAATTAAAATCAAGAAACAAAACTCATTACAATAACATTATTGTAAATCAACAAGATTCCCTAAACTGTGACAAAAAGTAACTCAACATTTCAGTATCCCAACAACATCCAGAACAAGATCAATTGAAAAAGACAACTACTGTCTCACAAAACAATAATCAAACAATAACATGGGCAGAGAAACATGTCCAGTCAAAAACAGATTTCTCGATCCAACTGCACATAGCCAACTAGTATTCTTCTAAGTGGACATCAAAACAAAATAGTTTTATCTATAAATACATGTCCCTATGTATGTGTCTCCATTGTGTGCGACCCTCTAGGTTACTAAACTGAAAAGGGTTTTGTTCATTAACCAAAAATTCAACTGCAAAAGGTGTTCAAGAAACTTATACCTCCCATCCAAAGTGATTTTGCAGAACTCTGATAACAACCCAGTTTTTGAAATAAGTTTTATCATCAAATTAAAGAAATCAATACGAGAATCCCAAAAAAGAAAAAGGTAACCAATAAGAAGACAAGACATCCAACTTGTGTCTATACTTTTTTTTTCGCCACATGAAGAAATTACACATCTCTTAAATTGCAACGTCTAGCGTCCAGATAACCATTATAGTAGTAAAGGACACCCTTTCAAACAAAGATTAACAAGAAAAAAAAAACCCTTTCCTCCTTTGCGCCGGTGGCATGTTCTACCGTGGCACCAATTTCTTGGAATTTTAGTTTCCTTAGGAATCTAAGCAATAGGGAGTATATTGAGTTTGCATCTTTGTTAACATTGATTGATGGGGTTTCCTTATCTTTATCTTTCGATAAAAGGGTGTAGAATATCAGCTCTTCAGGGATTTTTTCTTGTAAATCTTTGTTTGACAAACTCATTGACGAGTCTTCCATTCCTTTGTTTCTTCTTCATATGAAAAAGTATCCCTCATAAAGTGAAGTTTTTCATGTGGTCTTTAGTTCAAAGAGGTATTATGACCAATGACCTATTCCAAAGGAGAAGGCCTAATCACTATCTTTGCCCTCAATGGTGTGTGATGTGCAAGAGGAGTTCAGAATCAATGGATCATCTCTTTCTTCATTGTTCGGTGGCTCTTGAGTTATGGCAGCGTTTGTTCAGCTTGTGTAATGTTCAATGGGTTGCTCCAAGGATATGCTTCTTGTTAAGCTTGAAGGGTTCGGCGGCTTTAAGAGAGCCAAAACATTGTGGTCTTGTATTGTTTGTGCTATGTTCTGGACTTTTTGGCTAGAGAGAAATTCACGGATCTTTGATGGAAAGGCGGCTTCTGTAGATTCTTTATGGGATAGGACTAGGTTTTTGGCTTCGTTTTGGGCCTTTGTGTCTCCTCCTTTTAAAGAAGTTCCACTCTTCTTGATTTCTAGGGATTAGGCTTCTGTTTGCAATCCTTAGCGATTGGATTTCCTCGTTTTCCTTTAGTTTTTTTATAGTTGCTTTTATTTTGTTTGGTCCTTCTTCACCGTATAAGTACTTCTTGTCCTCTACCTTTTCTATTACTTAATGAATTTCGTTGTTGATTTTTCACCAAAAAAATATTAAAAATTAAAAAAAAAAAAAAGTAGTAAAGGACACCTTCAAAACCAATTGAGTTACAATCAATAGCATGAATAGCCTACATATATGTTTAACATCAAACAATTTCAAATTCCTTAGTCTATAACTCAAAATACAAAATACTGGTTAGTTGGTCAGTGAAAATTAGGATTGAATTTGAATTGAAAAAAATCCATTTTTTATATTTTTATATTGAAAACCCATTTCTACTGAGTTCTAAAACCAACCAATGATTGAAATTATACATGCGCAAAAACTTACCAAATAAAAATTAAACTTAACATCTATTGATAACGCCTCCCTCGTGAATTTGCAACCTTTGTTTCTTCTTCCAATTTGTATATATACCCATTTGAGGAGATGAGGAAAGGAGAGTGGGTACCTGGAAGCTAGAAGCTATAACTAAACTTTGGTGGATGACCGAACTCGCAAGAGAACTGATCGGGAAAATTGTCAGATTCACTGCCTTGCCAGTGTCGCCAGATACAGAGAGAGGGGGAGACACTCAGAATTTAGCCCTAATTTGCTATGTTATGTTCATTTCGTGGATTTGGGGGAGTTATTTAGCCTCCGTTTGGGAAGGAAAGTGGGTTGACTTTTTGGCTTTTTGGTTTTTTTTGGCTATTTTAGTCTGGGGCTAAAAAGTTTTGTTTGGGAAGGATTTTTTGGCTTTTCGGTGAGGTGTCTTCTTATTAAATTACCAAACTGCCCTTTTTGCCTTTTTTTCCCTTTAATTTTGGGTTTGGATTTGGCGTATTTTGTTTAGATTATTTTTTTTTTTTCGCTTTGGATTTGGCATATTTTGGTTTTTTTTTTATTTTTTATGTTGGGTTTCGAATTGGCGTATTTTGTTTAAATTTTTTAATTTTTTTTTTCGCTTTGGATTTGGCATATTTTGGTAATTTTTTATTTTTTATTTTTTTTATGTTAGGTTTCGATTTGCCGTATTTTGTTTAAATTTTTTTTTTTTTTCGGTTTGGATTTGGCATATTTTGTTTTAATTTTTTTTTCCTCTTAATTTTTTTATTTTGGGATTGGATTTTTCGTATTTTGCTTAATTTTTTTTTTCTATTACTTTTTTTTATTTTGGGTTTGGATTTGGCGTATTGTGCTTAGATTTTTCGAAATTTTTTTTAAAATTTATGTTTTTGTCTTTTTTTTATTTTTTGTTTACATTAATTAGTTCTTGCTCTTTATTTTTATTGGTATACAAAATATTTTTTTCTCCATTGACAAATCAATAGGTAATTCAATTTTCTTCAAATCAATAGGTATTTCACAGATGGAGACATCGTCTCCAGCATTGACTCACAAATGACAGAACATATTCAGATCATGTGTTTTCATAACTCATCAATAGGTAATTGACAGATTTTTAAATGAAGTTTATCATGACAGTGATAAGTAATCAACAGAATTTTGTAACAGAAATGGATATTCATTCACAGAATTGATGTCATCAGTCAGCAGTTGAATGCCATAAATGTGAAATTGTGATCTGAAATTGATAATTTGTAATGTGACTTCTAAGAAAAAAATTTTTTTGCAGAATAGACTGTTTTGAACAGAACAGGTGCCAAGAACTAGGGGTGTCCGCGGTTCGGTTTGGGACGGTTTGCGGTTCGGTTTGGACCCGCCCGCATCTATGCGGTTTGGGAAAAAGTCAACCCGCAACCACCCGCAATGCATTTTGCTGTTTGTGCGGATAGGGTTCGCGGATGTGCGGGCGGTTGCGGGCAGTTTGCGGATTGAACTTTTTTTTTCAAAAATTTATTTTTAAACCTTTTTTTAATTTTAATTTTAATAACAGATTTAATTCCAAAAATTAAATAACAGATTAAATAACAAATTTAAATAACTAACCTCACAAACTTCTCTTGCGGGTAATTCATTACTTCAGCTTACATATGATACAGTGTCCAAAATAGATGATCAATCTCTGAGATACTAATAACAATTGGGAGATTCTTGATACACCAAATTGCTACCAGTACATCATCCAGAGACTGATGAATGTCAATCCCTGGAGATATATTATGATAAAAGCTCCGTATTAGATCATCTCCATTTTTTCGCAACTGCAAGCTAACTTGTCCATCCCGTGCAGTATAAAAACCTGATTTATAAAGAAGAGGTCATAACCACATTGAAAGAATCGCAGCTACTAACAATACAGAAGCTCCTATGATTGAAAAATGACAATGAACGAGGTAGAAACCATCTTCTTCAAGGCAAGCAATGATACATTTAACCATCTTTCACCAATAGTTTTATGGTAAAAATATATTTCTACATAGCAGGTTGATTAATTAGCACATCACATGTTCATGAAAGAGACAGACGATTTGTAGTGATAGGTAATCCGCTGATATAAGTAACTATACTGTTAAAGCATGACAAGCAGATAAAGCTACATCAAGCAGTTCTAAAACCCAAATTGGAATAAAAAAAATGACAGGTAATATATATTTCCCCAAGGTTCCAAAGTTAGTATAAGCCATTGGCATACTAACAAACACTTCCAACAGCAAGACCCCACTGTTTAAAATTCAAAAACCTAAAATAAAGAAACAAACATATATAATGACATTTGTTTTTTCCTCGAAACTCACCATCAAACTTTCCGAAAACTTTAGAACAACAAGCATTTTTCAATGATACACTATTCCTTACTGTTTTGCTTCACTAAACACACGCACAAACAATTATTCTTTTTTTCATATTGAAGAAATCCAGAACAAAATAAAAGACCCTATGATTTTATTTCCATGTCATTTTATTTCCTACATTTATTTTTAAAAAATACAGTTCCTGGTAATGGAATCAAGCATGCTATAAGAACCGAAAACCTTCAAATACAGAGCCAACAAAAAACTTGTTCACTTCCAATTAGCAAAAAAAAGGGGGAAATGAAAATTTCACTCTTTCACCATCCTATATATAATCAAAAAGACTAAAATTTCCACAGTGAAAAGCACAATTTGAACGCAAATAGGATACGAACACAGAATCAAGCAAATGAATATAATAGAGACCAAAATTGAGAAGAATTAAACCGAAACAAAGCAAAATTAGGACATAGAAGTATAATAATTGGAGTAACAAGTGAAAAATGGAAGCATTAAGCAAAGATAGAAGATGAAGATTGATGATACCAAGGCACAGAGTTTGAGAGAAGACTTGGAGCTTGTAATTTAATTCCAAAACACACAAACCACACAAACATTTAAATTTAATTTTCAATTTTTATAAAATTAAATCCTAATCATTTAAAAAATCACTCTAAAGAATCTAGAATCATAACTCAGACCTTGATTTTTAGATAACAGACATATACTCTTACCTTTGATCTAAGATCAAACAGATTCAGATCACACAGAACACAGATTCAGACCAAAACAAACACACAGAACACAGATTCAGATCTGCTGGTCCAACAAACACACAGAACACAGATTCAGATTCGATCGAGGCGAGAGAGAGAGAGAGACAGAGATTGAGAGAGATAGAGGCTTACCCGTGAGTAGATCGGTGCGATGAGAGAGTGAGACGATCGGTGCGATGCGATTCAGACCAAAACAAACACACAGAACACAGATTCAGATCTGTTGGTCCAACAAACACACAGAACACAGATTCAGATTCGATCGGGGCGAGAGAGAGAGACAAAGATTAAGAGAGATAGAGTCTTACCGTGAGTCGATCGGTGCGATGAGATGAAAAACGAGAGAGTGAGAGAGAGACAGTGATGAGATGAGAGTGATCGCCGATCGGTGCAGAAGATGAAGATGAACAACGAAACGAGTGAGTGAGAGCGACAGTGATGAGATGAGATGAGACTGAGAGAGTGAGGTATAGACAGCAATTAGGGTTTTTTCTTTTGTTCGTCATAGATAAGGTGAGTGAGATGGTGAGTGATGGACGGTTAGATTTGAAAGGGGAAAAAAAAATAATAATAATTATGCGGGTAGGTTGGACGGGTGCGGGTCAAACCCGCAATCTGCCTACAACCCGAAATTTATATAAAATTTAAAATCACACTTTACCCTAATGTGTTTACGAAACCGCCCACACACGTGTAGTTCGGATCGGGTAGGGCAGTTTGGACGGTTTGGATAATCCTACGCCCAGCCCTACCAAGAACAGAACACGTTGAATATGAAAATGACTATTTTTTTACCATGGGCTGATCTACATGAAAATATAAGAACAAATACATATATCTACCTTCAAACCGAACAGATTTATATATAAGAACAGATATATATCTGCCCCAAATGTGTGAAATGCAACCGTAATGAACCCAAACTGAACAGATTTTACAGATTTTCATATAAGAACAAATATATAAATAATAACAGATATATATATTAAATTATATATATATATATATGCCCCAAATGTGTTTATTACTAACCGTAATGAACCCAAACCGAACCGAACAGATTTTACAGATTTTCATAAATAAGAACAGATACATAAATAAGAACAGATATATTTATATATATATATATATGTATATATACATATCTGCTCCAAATGTGTGAGCTGTAACCGTAACATTCCGTGATAACCGAACAGATTTTTAACATAAGAACAGATTCGAAATAATTTTTCACAGAGATATATATATATATATACTTATATTTCTAGCTGCCCCAAATGTATGTAATGTAAGCGTAATCAACCCAATCACGATCGTAAAGAAACAGATCGGTCATGAACCGATGCCGTTATGAACCCATACTATGCAGATCAGAAGCAGGGAAACGAATCAGATAGGCCATAAAAGCATTACCTGCAGATCGGTTTGTGTTTGAGAGAGTTGGTTCTTGTTCGCCGCCGCGGATGCGTACTCCGGTGCCGATCACCTCTGCGAAGGTCGTTCAGATGGCGTCGTCGTCGCTGGTCTTTCCGAATCGCCTATTTCGCTTGTTCTTCTTAGCTTTCAGAAGGGTGTGTGTGTTTTGGATGAGGCGTTGTCCCTCAAATTGAGAGGGTTATCTTCAGGGCATTTTGGTAAATTTACACCAATAAGGGTTTCAAACATACCCGTGAAACCCATTTTGTATGGACGTGGCTGATTCAGCCTAATTTGTCGGGACGTGGCTAAATTAGCCCAAGTTTTCCTTCCCAAACGGTGCTTTAGAAAATAAAAGGGGGGAAGTGAATGAAAATGTTGTTTTATTTTGGATATGATTTATATAGTCATTCACATTTTATTTTATTTATTTATTTATTTATTCTAATTTATGAATCAAATGCAAAATGAAAAAATACAAGGAGAAAGTACATGCAAGTTGAAATTAGGGAAAAAAATTACAAATACATAAGCGATGTAAGTGTGTCTGTGGTTAGGGATGACAATGGAGGTTAATGGGGTGCATATTAATTCCCCATCCCCATTCCCCTATAATAATTTTTCCACATTCCCCAATTATATTGCCTCCCCATCTCTTAATGGGTTTGGATTTCCCCAACCCAATATGACCCCTTTTTTTTTTTCGTTTCAAGGTTCACAACCAAAGCTAAATATACATTCAATCTTTTTTTTTTTTATTTGGCTCAACAACAAAATCAAATACACATTAATTAATTAAAATGTTTGTTTTAAAATAATCAAATAAGCTCACAAGAACATGAGATAAAATTGTTTTCATATATTTATATAACAAAATCAATCTAGGTTAAAGACATTCTAATAAAATAATGTTGTTGTAATTTGGAGATGAACCAGTCCATCTTCTCTTCTCTTCTCTTCTCTCTACAGTCTCCAATAACCATTTGTGCACAAGTATGTTCCTCTTTGTCTCCTCATTGAGTGGCTTTTCTTTTTTCCATTTGGCTGTATTGGGGGGATAATGGGCACCCAGATCATTAAGCAAATTTATTGAATTTAGAAGTCAAGTTTCATTGGATTAATTTAGTCTCTGTACTGTAGATGAAATTTTGACTGGTAAATGGGTGTTCATTACTTCATTCATTTGGTTTGTTTTTAGTTTACTGAAGATGAGATGAAGATTACCCTATTTTAAATAATCTGTTTTGAATTCCGTCCTTTAGCTTTCTTACAGATTGCATCTTGCAAGCTTTACAAGTATGAATCAAAACGTCTCAATACTTATATATATATATATATATATAGCCATTTTCTGAATTGTTTTAAACCAATTTGCTATCAATTTTCAGATTGTTCAGTGAAATCTCATCTAATGGAAGCAGAATTGATGGAATCTAGAGTAGCTATAAGAACAAAAAAGGATTCAAATCTTAATTCAGTACTGTAAATTAAATACTGAGAAATTTCTCTAGAATTTTGTAAACACACACACAAGAAATGAGTTCAAAAAAAATCTGGCAAGAAAAACAAAAATAGATCACAATGATCATGAAGAATTAATTACCTGATCGAAAACACAAACCCAGATTAAACCAGTGAAAACCAGCGAATTGTTGAGGGATTTCATGTATGTTCAGCAACAAATCAATGAAATCTGTCTTTAATTTCAGTAAGCGAAACAGAGAGAGAACAAGAGAGAACGAGAGAGAGAAACTCACCACGCTGAAGAACCACTATGGTAAGCGCCGACTTAGATCGCCGCCGCTAGATCGTTGCCTTCGCAAATCGCCGATGCTGGAGTGAGAAGATCCAAGTGATGCTGGAATGAAATCTGCTTAGGCTCACTATGCGAATGAGAAAAGAACCCTAGTTCTAAACACAACATATGGGGAAATGGACGGGTGCCCATCTCGACCCATATCCCATGAAAACACCACTTAATTACTCGATTGATAATTAAAAAAAAAATCATATATGTGGGTCGGTTTTCCTGGATATCCATAGGATAGGATTCCTATTGCCATTCTTTTCTGTGGTGGAGTGTAAATAAAAGGGTGTGAGGGTATAAGTATCATTTGCGTATCTCCATGTGTTGGTAATTTTTTTTTTTCAAACTCCAACCTTCATATAGTTTCTCAAAATACAAAATCTATATGTCCCGTTTGTTTTCAGAGATAGAACGAGGTAATTGATAGTGAGGGGATTAATAAAATTATGTTTATTTTAATGATAGTTGTTAGTATGTGGATTGTTAAATTAACTTTATATAAAATAAATATAAAATAATAAAACAAATAAAATTATGATTTTTAGTTAGGGCAAAACACCAATAAATCTCAAATTTTAATTTGTTAAACCATTGGTTTTGCTTTTTATTTTGTAGACTAATAAGTCCTATTTGAATGTTAAAAGCTCACTATAGGCCTTTTTTAGATTTCCTTTCTTTTCGAACATCAGCAACATTAACTACACCAACAACATCATCAACATCAACTACATCATCAAATATCATCAACATCATAAAACATCATCAACATTGATCAAACATCAACTACATCATCAACATCACCAACATCATAAAATATCATCAAACATCAACTACATCATCAAACATCATCAACATCATAAAAAAATCATCAACATCATCAAATATCAACTACAACATCACCAATATTGTGAACATCATCAAACATCAACTATATCTTCAACATCATCAAACATCATAAAACATCATCAAACATCAACTAAGACCCATTTATCAACATTATTCATCAAACATTGATAATCATTATTCATCAAACATTAAGATCCAGCGAACATCAAACACCATCACCAACATCAACATTATCAAACATCATCATCAACATTAACGTCACAACAAAAACATTAAGATCCAGCGAACATCAACATCATCGCCAACATCATCATCAACATTAAGATCGGCCTTTTCCCAACAAACGTTGTAGACGATTGCAAACCACGAAGGCAGAGAGGTCACGATCTCACGGCGGTGGTACTGGATCGGTGTGGATCGGCGCTGATGTTGACGATGTTGATCGGTGTGGTACTAGATCAGTGTTCTCGACAACTACAAAGCTTTCGGTGTTGTTTCTAACCCTAAGGAATGGAGCTAACAGAAAGAGAAATTTGTGGAGCATTAAGGAATGGAGATAGAGCAAAGAGAAAGAACAAAGAGAGAGAGAGAGCTACGTACCACAAGCGAAGAGCAACACCGGCGAAGAGCAACAGACGATGAATGAAATGAGATGGATTGAGGGTGTGAATTAGGTAAATGATTGTGTGTGGACATTTTGATAGATTCAATCCAATGATTGAAGAGTGGTATTATATCCATTAATTAGTGTATTAATATTATATCCAATGATGTTGTTGTGATGTTTGATGTTGTGTTGTTGTGTTGTTGATGATGTGATGACGTTTGATGTTGATGATGATGATGTTTGATGATGATGTTATGATATTTCATATTGTTTTGATGATGATGTTTGTGATGTTTGATGTTGTTTTGATGATGATGTTTGATGTTGTTTTGATAATGATGATGTTGTTTTGATGATGACGATGTTTGATGTATATGCCCTCTATGGTCAATTTCAATATAATGGGACCTTTCAGTCTATAAGAAAACTTTTAGGACTAAACAGTGTATAAGTTGTTGTTTGATGTTGTTTTGATGATGATGTTTGATGTTTGATGATGATGTTTGATGTTGTTTTGATGATGACGATGTTTGATGTATATGCCCTCTATGGTCAATTTCAATATAATGGGACCTTTCAGTCTATAAGAAAACTTTTAGGACTAAACAGTGTATAAGTTGTTAATTTGGAGAGAGAAGAGAAGAGAAGAGAAGATGGATTGGTTCATCTCCAAATTACAACAATATTATTTTATTAGAATGTCTTTAACCCAGATTGATTTTGTTATATAAATATATGAAAACAATTTTATCTCATATTCTTGTGAGCTTATTTGATTATTTTAAAACAAACTTTTTAATTAATTAATGTGTATTTGATTTTGTTGTTGAGCCAAATAAAAAAAATAAAATTGAATGTATATTTAGCTTTGGTTGTGAACCTTGAAACGAAAAAAAGAAGAAAAAGGGGTCATGTTGGGTTGGGGAAATCCAAACCCATTAGGAGATGGGGAGGGGTAATACAATTGAGAAATATGGAAAAATTATTATAGGGGAATGGTGATGGGGAATTAATATGCACCCCATTAACCCCTATTGCCATCCCTAACCACAGACACACTTACATCGCTCATGTATTCGTAATTTTTTCCCCTAATTTCAACTTGCATGTACTTTCCCCATGTATTTTTTCGCTTCGTGTTTGATTCGTAAATTAGAATAAATAAATAAATAAATAAATAAAATAAAATGTGAATGAATATATAAATCATATCCAAAATAAAACAACATTTTCATAAATTTGTTTTGTTTGTGGCTTTCGAATTGGTAGTCCATTCGGACTAGGATGGGCATTGGGTGAGCAAATTGTTAGGTTGGCCGAAGATGTGGTATTACAAAAATAGTCCGTCAGCTTAGTGAGTTGCCGGACGTCCGGCTGGTCAACTGTAAATTATTATTATTATTATTATTATTATTATTACTATTATTATCAGGGTGATGCACCAATAAATCCCAAATTAACAACTTATACACTGTTTAGTCCTAAAAGTTTTCTTATAGACTGAAAGGTCCCATTAGAAGAAAATTGACCATAGAGGGCATATACATCAAACATCATCATCATCAAAACAACATCATCGTTATCAAAACAACATCAAACATCATCATCAAAACAACGTCAAACATCACAAACATCATCATCAAAACAACATCAAACATCACAACATCATCATCAAACATCATCATCATTAACATCAAACGTCATCACATCATCAACAACACAACAACACAACATCAAACATCACAACAACATCATTGGATATAATATTAATACACTAATTAATGGATATAATACCACTCTTCAACCATTGGGTTGAATCTATCAAAATGTCCACACACAATCAATTCTCATTAAACCTAATTCACACCCTTAATCCATCTCATTTCATTCATCGTCTGTTGCTCTTCGCCGGTGCTGTTCTTCGCTTGTGGTACGTAGCTCTCTCTCTCTCTCTCTCTCTCTCTCTCTCTCTCTTTGTTCTTTTTCTTTGCTCTATCTCCATTCCTTAATGCTCCACAAATTTCTCTTTCTGTTGGCTCCATTCCTTAGGGTTAGAAACAACGCCGAAAGCTTTGTAGTTGTCGAGAACACTGATCCAGTACCACATCGATCAACATCGTCAACATCAGTGTCGATCCACACCGATGGGAAAAGACCGATCTTAATGTTGATGATGATGTTGGCGATGATGTTGATGTTCGCTGGATCTTAATGTTTTTGTTGTGATGTTAATGTTGATGATGATGTTTGATAATGTTGCTGTTGGCGATGATGTTTGATGTTCGTTGGATCTTAATGTTTGATGAATAATGTTGATAAATGGGTCTTAACATTCAAATGAGTATATATGTTGGTGATGTTCGATCCTTGTTTGATGACTAATGTTGGTGCTAATGATGATTATTAAATAAACAACATTACCAAAATAAAATGGGAGTAAATGGTGCATAAGAAAACTTTTAGGACTAAATGGTTCAACTTTTCAGAAAATAGGATTTATGGGCAAATTTTCCTAAAAAAAATTGATTTTATAAATATTGACGTGACATTTACAATAATGTTATTGTAATGAGTTTTGTTTCTTGATTTTAATTTTTTAAAATTAAATAACAATTTTTTATTAATAAATTATAAGTTGGAGAATAAAAATCATAAAGTAATATTTTAAGTAAATTACATTAATATCTTTGGTGATTTAGATAAAATATAGTAAATCTTCCAGTTTTAACATAATTAGATCGACTTGTCCTCTAAGCATCTCCAACCCACTAGGCATATGATGCTTGTTAGTCAAAATGCCTAATGTGACTCACTTTTTTCAACTCCAATGCACTAGGTATATGATTAGGTATTTTGGCTCAACTCACATTCACTAGCTACATGTAGCTAGCCTTCAAGGCTAGGCAAAATGTATTTAATCATTAAGATTATTTTCCTCCATCTTTGTTGCTGACGTGACATTCTATAAAGTTAATAGTATTTGGATGAATATCTAAAATAAAAAGCATGGTTGGAGTAGAAACATATAATAGTTGACAGGCAAAATAAAATGTATACTTTATAGTAATATTTAGATAGGTAAAATGCCTACTAGACTAAACAAATTGAAAGCAAATAGCATAAAAAAAAAAAGAATAAATATATATTTAAGTATAAAAACAATGATAATATTTTTTTTCCTCATTCATAAGACTAATGAAATAAATTATTGATGAAAATGAACTAAAAGTAATATAAATTAAAATATTAAGATAGTCTAATATAATTATGTAAAAATTGTGAGAGAGTGTCGGTTTTTTTTTCTTCTAAACTTTAAATTAGGTTAACGTAATTAATTTTTATTTTTACAATCAAATTTTTTTATTAAAGGGACTCAGACTTATCTATTTAGAATTTCTTAAGTGAGTGATTGTTTGGTCGAGATTAATTTGTGTAGTATAATATTTAGATTAATTTGTGTAGTATGAGATTTATATGGACTCCATATAGAATGTGGTAGAAATTAATTTATGAGTAATTTTTAAGTTAATGTGAATAAATTTGTATTATTTTTTTTAAAAAAAATAGGATTTTCCAAAATCTTAATATTCGAAGGGTTTAGGCTTTGAGAATCGGGTGTTTGTTTGGTTCCTGAGAAAATAACCAGGCATACACCATCCACGGAGCGTACCGTAGAGTCCGCGGTCACTCGCCGATGGCATTCTCAGGCACTTTACCTCGACAGCACCACCCTTCTTCGCCGCCCGAAACTGGACTAAACTTCCACTCCGTTTCGTCACCGTTAGTCGCCGAAACTTGTGTCATTGTTTACACTTCACAATCGAACCAGGTAAGCTTTTCCTGTGATCAAACAGACTTCGACCCATATTGGGTCAGACCCAATATACCTAATCGATTCAGTCGTTTCTTTATATATGGATGTGATTATGGAAAACTAATGGGTGTTTTGTTACTCGGTGAATGAGTTTTTTTGATATTCTTTTAGCTGACTGGGTTGACCCAATTCATTTGTTGTTTGATGATTGCGTGCTTATCAGCAAATCTGAGGCATAAAGTTTGGAATTTTAATTTGTGCTGAATTTGCCAATGTAAATGAACTAGTATAGAAACAGAAAATGGAACTGCAATGTCTCTTTTGTGTTCGAATAAATGTCAAAAAGAAGTAATTTTGGACCCTGGGATTTTTAGTATATTATTATTAGCACTATGTTTGGAAACCTAGGAGAGAAAAGAAAAGAAAAGAAATGATGACTTAAGTAATAAAGTAATAAGAGAAAAGAAAAGAAAAGAAAAGAAATGATTGTGATTTCTCTCTTTTTTGTTTGGATAAAGAAGAAATAAAAGAAAAGAAATGATTGTGATTTCTCTCATTCTTGTTTGGTTAGATTTCATTAAGAGAAAAGAATAGAAATTATTTTATGTTATATTATCAAAATAACCTTTTTATATTTTCAATCATTTTATTTCTTTTATTTTTATAGAGACAAAATTGGTATTATAAAAATAATGGTTTCTTTTCTCTCCCAATCTCTCCACTTTTGGGAAGGTTGAAAATGAGGCTTATAAGAGAAATGAGTTTCTCTCCATTTCTTCCCATTTCTCTCTACTTAGATTATCCAAATAAATAGGAGAAATACATATCACTCCGTTCTTTTCTTTTCTCTCCAAATCACTCAATCCAAACATAGCGTACTTTTCTCTCCCAATCTCTCCACTTTTGGGAAGGTTGAAAATGAGGCTTATAAGAGAAATGAGTTTCTCTCCATTTCTTCCCATTTCTCTCTACTTAGATTATCCAAATAAATAGGAGAAATACATATCACTCCGTTTCTTTTCTTTTCTCTCCAAATCACTCAATCCAAACATAGCGTAGGTGTCTGTTGAATCATAATTTCCCATTGAAATTGTAGTGTCTAAAAAGCTTGGTCTTATAACAGTGTATGTTGATGCACATATTGGAATCATAATTTCCTGTTGAAATTGTAGTGTGACTAATGGAACTGTTGTTTGTTTTCTAGCAGGAGTTTGGTGTTTGGAACCATGTTGAAGCAAGCATATCACAAGTTATGTGCTCATAGAGGTGATAAAATTAGGCTTTGTTTGTATTCACAAACAAGAGGTATTCACTGTGGCCAGGTACACTCTTGAATTTTGTTTTGAGGGTACGGGATATATTTTTCTCTTGAATCAACTTTCTATAGAATATGGATCATGATAATTTTTTTTGGCACCCTAAAGCTGACTATTAATGCAGCAGTAGCAATCTTTCAATTAGTAAATTTTATGTCTGTTATGTTTTTTGGGGGGCAAAAGTTGCCATTTTAATGTTAGTTTGAATTGTGTGTTTAGCTATGTTCAACAATTTTTTTTTTAGCTTGATTTCCAATAATTTGATGTTACTGCTATTGAGTCCTTCGCAGTGTTCATTCTTGCCATTGTTTTTGGACATAGTATAGACGCTATTGTGCTTTTCTCTTTTCGTAATGTATTGCTATTGCCAACCTTAGAACCAAGGAAACATTGGCGAGGTGATGAGAACAACATGCCAATGAATTTTTTGGGATCTGAAAGAACTGTTGTGGATAATGAGTAATTTGTTATAATGATCAAATCAAGTAGTGTGGCAAATACGAGTCTAGAAAGTGAATCCAGTCCTTATAATATGAAATATGGCCTGAAAATCTTAATTAACCGTATAAAACATTGTTGATATTCACATCCGAGAAACTGCAAGGTAAGCCGTGTGAATAGGATGCCATTTTACATCAACAAAGTTGAGATCCTCAGCCAATTTAGTTACGTCTTGCTTATGACTTAATATAATAGTTAAAATCATTGTGAGTTTTGAAAGATTTTGTTAGCTACTCATTTTCATGTTGATTATAGTTCATTGAACTTGACACTCCAGGAAAACATCTAAGAATCATGTTATAACTATGTTGAATGAAGATTTATTGTAGCATAATAGATTTGAGATGCAACAGCTAGAAGTCTGGCTTGCATTTCAAATAGCTATGCAAATTTGAAAAGGTTGGTGTCGTAGTGGTCCATTTTCCCCCTCAAAAAGCGCTTGTTATTGTTGAGGAGTGAATTGGTTTGCTTTTACTCGGTTGAAGCATCTCCGCTATTTTTTAGGTTTTTTATGTTCTTAAAATTGTTAAAGCACTCTTGTTCTAGTCACTTACAACTTCTTGATTGATTTAACTTGCTTCTGAAATCTCCACTCTTGCTCTGAAATTTTAATATGACAACTTAAAACCAAGACAACTGAGGGCAGTGATTTTGGCACCCAAGTTGTAGTCAAAGGTAAAATGATTTTATTATCAAGGATAAATTACATTGACCTCCCTTGAGGTTTGAAAAATATGCCAAGCCCCCCACAAGTTTGGCATAATTACACTATATCCCTATGAATTTCATTCATGCAACACTTTTCATCAGTAATTAGTAATTCGTGTAGTTGAAAAAAAAAATTTGATATTATGATATGATTTATGAAGCATAGACACCTTTCTAGAGGTCATATACAGGCGTCCTACACATGTTGGACATGGATACGCTCTGGACAAGTGTCAGACACGCTGGAAAGAGTTAGATACGCTGGAACACTTTGGACACACTGCGGATACATGCTGAGAACACGCATGAGACACGTTGAGGACATGCTAGGGACACGTTAGGGACATGCTGAGTACTATTTTTTTCAATAAAAATTATTATTTTTTTATTTTTTTACTAAAATAGCATATCTAAGGTTGATAAATTTGATAAAATTAAATATTTGACATGAAATATATATTAAACATTTAAAAATATACATATAATAAAAAAATATATTTTGAACGTGTCCTTAACGTGCCGTGCCCTACATTTTTTTGAAAATTTACATGTCTGCGTGTCTGTATCGTGTCACATGAGATATGATAATATCATAACATTTACACTACATTTTGTCATTGATTATTCATGTGTTTACACACCAACTGCATTAGTTATGCTTGTTTTAGCCTTACTAAAAGAGTGTTTAATGTAATTATGATAAACTTGTTGAGCTTATTTTATTTTTATTTTTTTCAAACGACAAGGGTGATTAGTGTAATTTACCTTATCATCAATAAAACAAAAATCTTACAGGCTCTAAAACTTGTACAATTTGTTGTGAAAGAATTTGAAGTTTTCTTGTTCAAAATCTGACTTTGATGTATTTGTCCCTTTTTATATCTTTAACCCATTTTATAATTTCACAGCCTTCTTTGGGACCAAGAAGCTTTTTTGGGGTAGAGGATTATCTCGACGATGACAATAGCCGACCATACACATACCAGAAGGAGAAGAAGTCGAAGAATACAGACAAGCATGTATCCTTCAAACAACGTATAATAGCTTACATGGAGACATTTATGCTTGACGTGTTCATATCTAAACGCTTCGTTTCGGTCTCGTTCACTCACAGGGTGACGAGCAAGCAAGTTGCGGTTGCTGGTACCAACTCCAAAGACATCAAAGCCGCACTCAAGTCGCGATCAGATATACCGGCGTGTTTGGCCGTACGACGGATTTTAGCAGAGAGAGCACAAGAAGCAGATGTCTACACAGCTTCGTATACTCCGAGGGAGAGGGATAAGTTTGAAGGGAAGATAAGAGCTATTGTTCAGTCTCTCATTAACAATGGTATTGATGTTAAAGTTTTTCTTGATTGATTTTTTATTTTTTTTTCCTTTCCAAAGCTCAAGTTAGGATCTTTGTGTTTCCTTTTGAAGTGTTTTTAGTAACCCTTTCAAAGGTGAAAGTCCCTTTGGTCCTGTTGTAGTCTTTTGCAGATCCTTGATCAATGAAATGAAGGAACACATATATGCATTCATGATCTTCTATAAATGTGAACTCTTGTGTGTGGGGAGTTATTTTCCAATTCATGTTATTTTAAAATAAATTTTCCAAATATAAGTTGTTTTAAAATTTGAGTGAAAATTGAAACAAGAGAAACTAAAAGGATTGAATCATAATTATTACAGGGGGTCTCCATGAGAAATTTGAGTGATTTTTTTATTTATTTATAATTAAAGGTAAAAATGTGTAATTTGTTTTATAATTTTTTTACTCCATTGTCTCCAAAACAGACTCTTGTGACCTACACATACTTTTTATCCAAATTTGTATTTAACAGTGAGTGAGAGGAAGACTATATTAAAACATGAATTGAAGTATAAAGATTTTATGTACTTGTTTACTATTAGAAGATGTGGAAACAAAATAAAATTCAAATAACAATCGAAAATATAATTTATCATACATTGTCAAAAACAGAGATAGGGGAAGATTTCTGAGACTCAATCCCAATCTTTAAATGTCTAATGCGAAAAATTTTAATTTTTTTACGCAGGTTTAACTTATATCATACGTGGTGTGTCATTTCAATTATAAAGAGACATGTAATTATTTTCTCTCACTTTTTCTCTTATATTTTAGACAATAGTTTTATAATAGTTTCGATCTAATAGATGGAGGACTTCTTGTTTAGTACACAATTACAAACGGATCTATTTTTTTTCAGAGAATTGTAAACTATAAAATTATAAAAATGCAAATGACTAGTTATATAATTTCCAATTCCTGCAAAAATTTTAAAGTACAACCCTACGGGCCTATAGGCCCATCTTAGGCCTTATAATTAAAATACGGGCTCAAGCTGTCTAACCCATGTAATCTCCGAACCAGCCTCGCAGCCTACAGCACTGAGTTGACTCGCCCAAGTTCCGAAACTCATAACTCAGTCAAAACCCTTCTCGTTCTCTCTCTCTCTCCCCACCCTTCAACTGAGCTCTGAACCCTAGAGAGAGATAAAAATGGGAAGGAGAAGAAGAGGCGGTGGATCGCCGCCGTCGACGGACTTCGAACGAGTCCTCCGCCGGCACATCGAGTCCTGCAACAGGCACAAATACGCCACCGTCGACGAAATCGTCAGCCACCTCTGCTTGAACTTCCCAGGATACAGTCGTTAAAAGCTCCAACCTTTCACAACTATCGTTCAAAAAACCCTAGAACATATCAAATCGACGAGCATTACATTAAGCAATCAAGGTCGTCCGTCCACATCAAACTTCGTCTTCGACGACGACGAAGAAGAAGAAGAAGAAGAAGAAGAAGATGATGTTGATGAAGATGAATCTACTCGTAAGAAGGTGAAGAGAATCGACGCGAGTGAGGAGAGGTTGCAGCGATTGGAAAATCAACACATTCGAAGGAAGCGAATTGGTATCATCGATCAGTCGAGTTCTTCGTCTGAATTGGAATCAGAATCGGCAGGCGGTGCAGTGTCGACATCGGAAGACGCGATTTATGGTGAAAAATTGGAGCCAGAGTTCGATTTGATGAAGTCGATGCTTCGTGCGAGTTATAGTGAATCGAAGGATGCTGAAAAATTGAAGGAGAATGTGGAGGTGGAATTGGTTGTTAATAATAAGGCTGATGATAAGGTTGATTTGCTTGAAGGAGATATGAAAAGATTTGAAAAGGTTTGAATGGTGATGGCAATGGCGATGGTAGTGGTGGTGAAGAGGTGAAAGAAAAGGATGGGCCAAGATTCAGGGATTTGGGTGGGATAAGTGGAGTTGTGGAGGAATTGAAGATGGAGGTGATAGTTCCATTGTATCATCCGCAATTACTGAGGTGGCTCGGAGTGAGGCCGATGGCGGGGATTTTGTTGCACGGTCCGCCAGGTTGTGGAAAGACGAAGCTTGCTCATGCCATTGCTAATGGGACTGGTGTTCCATTCTATAAGAAATTGGTCTCTGGTGTTTCAGGTATTAATTAGTGTTTCTATTCGATAATATATAAATATTTTTCTACTTGGTTTAGTTTGATTAGTTTCACCAAAAAATTTCATGAAATCCAGGCAAAAACAAGTTTTTCACCAAATTTGATGAAAAAGCTCTAGGATAAGGTTGGAGTTTCTGAAAAGGATTTTGATGAAAATTTTGACAGAGTAAGGATTGGTGCATTCAATTTTTTCACCAATCAAGTTTTTTGTTAGTTAATTTTGATTAAAAAAAACTAATGGAGCATCCCATATGAGATTAAGCTTTTAAGTTTTAACCAATTGATGAATAAAAGAGGTAAGAGTATCTATCTCCAATCCTTTATCAAATCCTTCGTCAAATTTAAATTTGATGAATTTTTTTTTTGAAAATGAGATCCAATCCTTTCATCAAACTTTTATCAAATCAAGTTTTCATGAGATGGAAATTGTTGCATATTGCTGGCTCCAAGAAACCATTTACTGGTCTTCTTGCTTCCCTGGGCTCAGCTTTGTGATGGAGAAGCTTTCTAATGCTTATAATTATCGTATTTTTTGTGGTAAATATTTCAGGTGTATCGGAAGAAAACATTCGGGATCTTTTTATGAAAGCACATAAAACAGCACCATCTATTGTATTCATTAACGAGATTGCTGCAATTGCTTCAAAACAAGAGAAATCTACATAAGGAGATGGAGAGAAGGATTGTGACACAGTTGATGACTTGCATGGATGAATCACACAGGCTTGTACAACCAGCTGATGCAAACACAAATGTAGAAAGTTCTGATTGCAGACCAGGCTATGTTCTTGTGATTGAAGCTACCAATAGGCCTGATGCGGTTGATCCTGCATTAAGGAGGCCTGGACGATTTGATCGTGAGATTGTCTTAGGTGTTCCAGATGAAAATGCAAGGGTTGAGATTCTTTTTGCTCTAACACGCAATCTTAGACTTGAGGATGCTTTTGATCTTGTGAAAATAGCCAAGTCCACGCCAGGGTTTGTTGGGGCTGACTTGGTGACTCTAGCTAACAAGGCTGGTATCCTTGCTATGAAGAGAATTATTGACAGAAGAAAGTCTGATCTATTTGGAGAACCTATAGATGTGGATCATACTGAAGACTGGTGGAGGCATCCATGGCTGCCTGAAGAGATGGAAAATCTTAACATCACTATGGCTGAGGTATCTGGATTTTTTGAATGAATGCTATCGAATGTTATTAATATTTCGAAAATGCAACATACTTTTAATTTTGATGTTGCTTCTTCTCAATACATGTTTGTCTTATCAGTATCATCCTTTGGAAGAAGTATCTTCATTTTCTTCATGATACTTCAGCGATCTAAATTTTAGTTGAGTTTAATGATTTAACAGTTCCCTTTTGTGCTTCAATGGGAAATTCCTGTAGTCTGAATGTGCATGTAATTGAACATGTAGAATTGCTGGATGCTGTATAATGGTTTTATGATGTAGCATTTTTCATATCTGAAATTGAGATTAACTACTTATTTTGTTGTCTATACTTAAAAATAATTTTTGTTTTAAATTTTGAATGAGTTATTTTGTGATTGATTTACTGATAAAATGATGGCCATCACAAAACCATGTTACCTGCAGGAAGCAACTAAAATGGTTCAACCCTCTTCAAGAAGAGAAGGATTTTCTGCCATTCCTAATGTTAAATGGGAAGATGTCAGAGGGCTCCATTTGTTAAGGAAGGAGTTTGACCGTTACATAGTTAGGCGTATAAAATATCCCAAGGATTATGAGGTAATTGTTACATTTAAATGTCAAATTATAAATCACCGTCAAGATGGTGCAGAGGGAAACCAACATAAGGGTAGAGTAGAGAGTCATCCTATGTTTTTGACATCATAAAGTTTGTGTTCTTAGATTTAGCTGGCATTTTTAGGGATTCAGGGTAGATCTAGAGACAGGATTTTTGCTTTATGGACCTCCAGGCTGTGGGAAAACATTGATTGCTAAGGCTGTTGCCAATGAGGCTGGAGCCAATTTCATTCATATCAAGGTTTGTCGCTTTATTTTCACTATCCAATCTTTTGTTTAAACATGCTAATTTCAACTGTAATTTCTAAATTATGTTCACCGGTAAAGGGCCTTGAACTTCTGAATAAATATGTTGGTGAAAGCGAGTTGGCTGTTAGGACAATATTCAGCCGAGCAAGAACATGTGCCCCGTGCATACTTTTCTTTGATGAGGTAAGTGGCTTGTTACTGTTGGTACTATCCCCAATATTTCTGACTTAAATTATGAAAATATGGACCTCTTTCAACATAACTGTTAATATAATATTATTGTTAATTTGTTAATTGTATAGCTGTCTAGCTTTCTTGCTAATTGTATAGCTGGCTTCTTTCTGCTTTCGGTGGTAATGGATTGGCATCCAATGTACATTGCTTCTCTCTATAAAGAGAGAGTTCATTTCTCTTGTAATATACAACACATAATACAGAAACACTCTTTGCTCTCTAGCCTCTCTTTCAAATTAATCTTTCAATAACAATGATGCATTTAGATAATTATGGAATCATGGACCTCCCTTCTTCATCAAACTTTACATCTACTTTTGGCCATGATTGCAAGATAGGGAAGAACGACAATTCCATACTCCTATCAATGCAGAAAGGACAGAGCCATTCACATCACAAGCACTTTATGTAAATTTTTTATTCATTCATCTCTCTCTTGGGATTTTTTTTCCCTTCTTGGTCTCCATTTATATTTCATAGGACTAAAATTTAAGCCAACTATATAATAGTGTAATTGTATATAGACTGCCCTTTTCAGTTTAACAATGAAGTCTTGTATTTTAAAAAAAAAAAAAATGGTCCAATAATGATCTGCACTCTGTTATAAAACGTGGGCTGGACAGGGCTTGCTGCTAGTTGAACTTCACATGTTCAGATGAGTTGTTTTATTTTAGCCAAAATCCTTAATGGGTTTGGTTGACAGTTATATACTTATAGAATTGGTCTTTGTATCAGTCATTACTGTCAGAGTTTTTAACTTGTGCTCATCTGTCACTTCAACATCTGCAGGTGGATGCTTTGACTACAAAGCGTAGAAAGGAAGGGGGCTGTGTTGTTGAGTGGCTTTTGAACCAGGTCTAACAAATTTACCTATTCGGTATCTGAATTCACTTATGCTCACCTACTCATCTTATGTCTTTAATGAAATGCATAATGAGTTGGGGAAGAAAACTTTCCGAACGAGAACCAACGAACCACACAAACCACACCGGAACAAATGTCACAAGGATTGGTTTGCTTGGTTTGTGAATGGGTTTTGTGTCACAAAATGAGAATTGCACCAACACTAAGGGACTGAGTCACACCCTAATGCTTCCTTTATCAAAACTTTATTATTAGATTATGGATTTGACAATGAATTCATTTCTTATTATGCAGCTACTGACAGAGCTAGACGGTGCAGATCAGCGACATGGTGTTTACGTCATTGGTGCCACAAACAGGTGATCTCAGTTCTTTTTCTTGAAGTTTGCTCTGATAGCAAAATACTATTGTCTTTTGTCTACCAAGTTATCATATTTGATCTTGCCAAACTGCATACTAGACCTGACGTGATGGACTGTGCTGTGTTACAGCCTGGAAGGTTTGGCAAACTCCTTTATGTCCCTCTGCCCAGTCCAGATGAACGTGGGTTGATCTTAAAAGCTCTTGCTAGGAAGAAGCCTATAGATGCTAGTGTGGATTTAATTGCTATTGGGAGTGATGAAGCTTGCGAAAACCTTAGCGAAGCTGATCTTTCTGCACTGGTTCAACTATATTGTGTTAATTTCATATTTTGTTTTCGAGAAATGCTACCTCCTCTTGGTTTTAAATATCAATACTATATGTAATGGAAGTTTGGTCTCCCGGTATGTATCCAGATACTTGTTTAAAACCATTCTCACTTGCGTCTGTGCACTCAACTCTGCCATTGTGCATGTGAATGCTTGTGCCAAGTGTGGCTCGTGGTTGGGCTTTTCCTGACTGCTCAATTTCTGTTTTTGTCAATGCTAGATGAATGAAGCAGCCATGGCTGCACTCGAAGAGAAACTGACGGCCCAAAGCAGTTCAGATGCTGATCATCCGATTTCATTGACTATCAAGAAAACACATTTTGAGCAGGCACTGAAAAAAATCTCTCTATCAGTCTCAGACAAGGTTTGGGAGTTACCCTTGCTTAGTTGTTTCTTGATGCTCATGTGTGTTGTCCCCTTATACAGCTCACCTTTTCTCGGCTTTCTAATCTCTCTGTTTTGTATGGGGTGCAGCAAAAACATTACTACCATCGTTTGTCAGAAAGCTTCAGAACGGCATGAGAGTAGATGGGGTGGGAGGATTCCAATTGTTTGGATCTGATTTCATTGTCGTTGTAGATGCCATCATTCATTTCAAGTTGGTGGATACTCTTTCAACCTGTGGTATCTGAGAGGGAAGACAGCAGCCCAACTCGGGAAAAACCAGGGTTCCTTAACCATGATCAATTGCGATCGCCTAGTATTAACTAAAGTTGTGTTGTGGTTTTGAATTTGTAGAAGGGAAATAAATTAGAAAAAAATGAAATAGAAGTTGAGATTTTTTTGGTTATTTTCTCTTGAAGATTTAAATACAGCCCCCCCTCCCCTGAGGGATATTAGAAGCTTTAAGTGTAATTTAAACTAACGTTGGGTTTGTCAAATATCATTTTTTTATTATTTTTTTATTATTTTTAAGGATAGCTAGTGGTAAATCATTTATTTATTATGTTAAAGATTCACATTTTTAGATCTATAAATTCACTTACAATGATGTGATGAGGAATTGGCTTAATATTATTGGTGTATAAGAGCATCTCCAACGCTTACTCAAATTAAAATTTGAGTAAAAGTTTGATCCGATATGTTATGCTTTAATCGCTTCATTAAATCTGGTTGGTCATCTAGTTGATTATCCGACCAATCGTCCGGTTTAAAGCAAATTTTCAACAAAATTTTGCCAAGGCAGTCATTCATTCGGATGTTCTATCAATCATCTACCCGGTCGTCCACCAATGGTTGCCTACAAAATTTGATGAAAGGTTTAACGCTCCCTTGATTTCTGGTCTCGCCTTCATTTGATATGGGTTTGAAGTCATGGTTGGAATAGAAAAAAGGAATGTGTTAAGCATTGGAGACGTTCTAACAAATAAAAAATTTACACATATCATGCAACATCATTATACATGCAATCATGAAAATATTTTAAGGGTCTCAAACATTTTTTGTATGGTATGAAAAATCTTCAAAAATCGTCTTTGTTATTGGGAAATTTTAGGTAAGTCGCTTTTTTTCTTTTGGGTAAATTAAACTGATATCCCTTGAGATTTTTATTTAATATATATCTCCCCTCATATTTAAAAAATTACACTTATGTCCCTGTCAAATTAAATGACATATTTATCCTTAACCTTTATTCATATAAAATAATGCAGATATTTTGTTCATGTCATTTCAAGGGAAATAACAATCATCTTCTTTAGTTTAACTTACACAAAAATTGAGTTTTTTTTTTAATTTTTCGTATTTATTTTTTTATTTTTACTGATTTCTTTTAATATCTTAAGCATTTTATTTTTATTTTTTAGATACACCTCATTTAGGTATACTTAAGAAGTATAATATTTTGTAATTTTTTTTTTAAATTCACCAGAAACAAAAATATAAAAATTCAATACATTATCTTGTTTGTTATATTCAATGATTTTTTAAAAATTGTGTGCACAAAATTTATACTTTTTAAATATATCTATATTAAATTGATCTAATCTAAATATAATGGTAAAAATAAAAATAAAAAATTATATTCATATATAAAAAATTATACAAAACATTATCATTAAAAGGCAGTATGGTCAATTAAAAAATTTGAAGGCATAACATCAATCATTTAGACAACAATTTGTAATGAGATTATAAACCTCAAAAAAAAATATATAATGTTTCAAACGTAAGAAGAGATTTGTATTTAAACAGAAACCTGAAAGATGTCAGTGTAATTTATCCTTTTCTTTTAGATTCTCAACTAATAAAAACTCTCAATGAAACTTTTTTTATAAAATAAAACTTAAATGCCACATCCAAATTTTGCTTAAAAAAATGGTCTTCACTATTGTTAGCTAATGGTCTAGCTTTTTTAAGTTTGGGTGATTGGAGTTTTTTTTTTCAGTGAAATTAATTTCAAAAAAATTTAAAAATTAAATTTTAAAAAGTTCATAAAAAATAGAAATAACTAAAATTACTTTTTTAGCCCTTTTTTTTTTTGGAAATTTCTTTCATACATGGACCAGAAAAGTAATTTTACATAATTATAAAAAAAAAATATCACTAAAGACAAACACAAAAAAAAAGAAAAAAAAGAAGGCTTTCTATTAGCAATATGACAAACACCTTCCACCCAAACAGGACCTTAAAAAGAAAAAGAAATGCATGCTGGGAAATTCCACAGAGATGAACTTCAACCAGAGAAGGAAATAATTGTGATGGGCCTGAGGATCAACCATAGCATTCTGCAGTAGGACAATGTAACCACATAGTACATGCACATAGAAAGAAACAAAAAAATGTTGCAAGTAATTGAATATTTGTCCAATTTTGCTGGGTTGAGATACACTTGTGATTGATTTGAATTTAAAATAAATTATATAAAAGATAAAATATAAAAAAGAGCCAAGCAAGTTATTTCCATGATCATACAATGCATGCTGTGAAATAAGACTATGCTAAAGATCAGTAGATGTATAGCAGCACTTAAAAAGAAAAAAGAAAAAAAAAACAACAATTAATGTTCTCTGCTAAGGCTCGGTTAAGTCTTGAACCTTCGCACTGATCAAGCCAACTTTGCTCTTTGCAAGGTGGGCGCACTTGAAATTGGAATTCAGTCACTAATTTTGCCAAAAAACGGGATTCAATCAAGCTCACCTATGCAAATAAAAAAATTTAAAAAGATTACTTGGTTAGTCAATTGTGGGAGAAAGCAAAAAATATAAATTGGTTGGCCAATTATTTCAACTAAAAGATTTTCATGATGCAGATGTTGAAACAATAGGAACTCTCATTTACTACTCTCTTAATGATAGGTGTAAATGATTCAAACACCTCTTTAAGTTCTCTGAAAAAGATGACATACTGGTTTTCTAAAATCTAGAGGTTAATCATGTCTATAAATCACACAATTGACATAATTACACTAACTTCTCTTTTATTAAGACTACAAAGCGGCCGAAACTAATGCAAATAGTAGAGGAATCTACTTCGTTTAAGAATAATATGGATTCTGCTGAAATAGTTAATCAATAATCAGTTTTTAATTCCAATCTATTTCAAACGCTAGAATCATAGTGATTTAAAATAACATTCACATTCTCCCACAAGATATTTTGGGACCCGCCCCAACCTCCAGGTGCTACTTGCAATATAATCAAACTTAAAGGTGGCAAGTGTAATTTAGCCAAAAAAGGGATCACTAATCAATCTTTAGATTTTTCACACCATTCAAGTTCCCATTTAGCAGACTAACAGCTCAATCAAACCAAGGTTATACACAACTACAGTATTTTGGGGAGCTAAAACTTGAAATGGTATACAGGCACACCTTGAAATCGGATTTCAAGAATATTAATGATGTCTGTGACGATCCTTGTCCCTTGAATAAGACGAGCCATGGTATTCACTATTTGCAGAAGAAATATTGGCAGAAGCTAGAATTCAGTTCTTTACTAAGAAAAATATATACCAAGCATACTATTAGAATCAACATTTGAAGAAAAATAGAATGCCAACCTTGAGATGAATAATGCTTCGATTTATCTGAATGCCCTCCTGCATTTATAAAGATGACAGATCAGATATACAACTTCCATTGAAAGAAAGTAGCACCTAAAAAATAATGTAAAATAGAATTGTAACTGCAGGGATTTGGTGATGACCTAAAAAGCACAGACATGTGACACGACAGATATACAAATTTTCAAAAAATACACGATAACATGCGGGGGACACGTGCAAAACATATAATTTTATAGGGTTAATTACATGGACCTCCCCTGACCTCAGGAAGGGAGATTAGTGTAATTTCATAAACTAGAAACGAGGTATGTGTAATTAGCCCAATTTTATATATTTATTTTATGTCAAAAATTTAATCTCATCAAATTTATCAATGATAGGTATTTTACTTGATAAAAATAAATTAAAAAATGGGACATCATGTTTCCCTAACGTGTCCAACTAGAAAAGGAAAAAAAATAAAAAAATTGGGGCAATTCCTCTAGCGTGTCCAACACATGTCTGAGGTGTGTCCGTGGAGGTGTCCATGCTTCAAAAGTGATAACTGTCAAGAATTCATAAACTAACCTGAATCCTTTCCTTTGTCCTTAGAACGGTGACCTCTGTCCTTGACTTTCTCTCTTTCCCTTTCAATGTCCTCTCGCTCTCGTTCCCTGTCAGAATCCCTTCCCCTATCACGGTCCCGTACCCTTATATTGTGTTTGGTTGAGGGATTTGAGGAGGGATTTGGAAAGGAAAATGGAAAAAATAGGTGAAATATGAATAAAACATGCCTAAATTTCACCTAGTTTCACACATCTTTTCCCTTTCCCTTTCCAAATCTCTTCCCAAATCCTTCAACCAAACACACCATTAGTCTATCCTTCTCCCTTTCCCTGTCCCTGTCTCTCTCCTTCTCCCTTTCCCTGTCCCTGTCCCTCTCCCTATCCCAATCCCTCTCCTTGTTCCTTTCCCCACTTGCGTCCATCTTACGCTCAGATTTCAATTTGGATACAGGTTCTTCTTTTGCCTCTGCCTCAACAGGCACGCTTTCAGAATCATCACCACTCTTCTTAGACTCTTTCAACTTGTCAAGTGCTGCTTTTATCAGTGCACCCTTGGACCCACCAGATTCCAGATTAGCTGTGGCTGGAGCTGCTTTGGGAGTACTGGTATCATTATTTGCAGGCGGGACACTTAGCGAACCTTCCTAAGCAAAAGAGGAAAGAGGAAAAATCAAATCACTAACCAAGCTTCCTAAAGAAGAAACGAAGTTTACTGATTCCTACTTTTGTGTTTTTCTTTGTTCTCCTAAGAAATTAAATAAAACCCATCCTATTCATTAATGACATGCAGTAAGTAGTGATAAAGTTGACAAACAGTGACGGAGCCAGGATTTTGGCTAGGGGGGCAACATTAAATTGAAGCCTTGGCATCATTTATCACAATCCAACTGAACCCAATTTTCATTTGGTGGTAGAATGACTAAAGATCAACGTGATTCCAAAGTTATATTTTAGAGTTGTTCTTGAGTTAACAAATCATTTTTCCTTTTTGAAATTCTTTTATTATTAATTTAATTTTTTGTTCAATTTCTAAACATGATAATCATCATAATTTAAAACGCAATCACACGTCCGTAAAAAATAAAGATAAAATTACATCAAGACGCGCGCACACAGTGACAAAATTTATAAGAAAAATTTAATGTAGAAAAATTAAACATTTAAAGTGGCGAGTGCAAAGATTTTGTTGGAAAGGACAAGTAAACAAAATAGGAGGTAGAAAGATTGAAGCGACATATTTGGAACTTCAAAAAAGCAAATTGAAAAACATTTTTAATTCAGTGTAAAAGTATAATTTTCAAAAAAATGAAGGGCACGCAATATGTGGCTCTGCCAATGTTGGCAACCATTACAGCTGTACAAAATATAACAAAGGAAATTGCACCACCACAGAAGAAACTTTTCTTTTTATTAACTTTTTCTCCTCTACAAACGGATGCAAGCACACTGGGCTAGAGTGCGAGTGTGTGAGTGAGAGAGAGAGACAGAGACAGAGAGAGAGAGAGAGAATGAGAATTCACCTTTGGAACTGGCTGAGATGGTGAATCCCACGATTTATTAGACGTTGTAAATGAATCCCCATCCTTACAGACAGGTATATATTTTTCCTTAGGAAGGCTGTAAAGATGGGCGAGAACTCTACAAACCTCATAAATCCCAGATTTATCTGCATCAAATGCTTTCCACCACGGTGGATTCTCAGGAAGGGGTACTTGGAATCTACGAGCAGCAGCATATACAACCCCACAGGCCACAACCTCACTCTTGAACCGCACACACAAAGTCGTACGCAAACTGATCAAGAAAAAGGATAGTCAATGAAGAAGCACCTAAACAAACGAGTGCTAACAGGTATAGTAGGAATAACAAGAATAATTTTTCTGTTCTTTGACAAGTAGCCACATGAACAAAATAATGCACCATCAAAAATAAATAATGAACCATTTCTCATTTATAATTGCCTTATTCAACAACTTCACATTAAGGACATGTTATTCTGTCTCATCCTTTCACCTTTTAAATCTACTTTTGGTACTAAAATTTACTGTGTAGAATTTTCAGTTCTAAAAAACAGCCGCTAAGCTTTCACTGCTTGTAGTTTTAAGCAACCCCTATCAATAATCACATGTGCCTATCTGTCCAAGAACCTCAATGGAAAAACAAATTAACATAATTTTTTCTCTAACACAGTGATAGTATATAAACAAGCAGATAAAAAGTGTTTTTATACAAAGCTGGGGTTCAAAACCAAAACAAAACTTGCTTGCTTATGCACAAGCACAAACAAATCCAGCCAAAATGTCAAAGGTATACAGAAAAGCCAAATGGTGAGAAATCATCAATACATGATAGAGATGAATAAATAAGCATATCAAATTCCACATTGTAAAAAATTGACCACTATCCATGGTTGGTAGGATGTTGGGAGCATCATCCTAAGTATAGACCTATCATTTCACATTATTTTCACAAAGTAGTTCCCTTATACTCAAATTCAAGCATGCACCATAAGTTAGTCTTTGTTAAACCACAAAACATGTTAATTTTAGAATTACATGTTAAATTCAAGTATTCAACTATTGCTGAGAGCTATACAGTTTTTGGAAAATAAATAAACCAATCTAATGGGACAAAAAATATTGAAAACAGTTCATCATCAACATCAAGGCTCAACAAGAAGCAAGTCAAAAGGATTGTAACAAAACTTCTAAGTAGAAAAGCAAACTCAGGAACTTATAAAAGCCACAGACTTTACCCCATGCATCAAGTCAGATTTATTAGGGTTGCGTTTAAAGCTGCCAAGTTAAATGATTGAACCATCAAACTGAAATAGGTACAAAAAAATTATATTAATAATTCAGAGCTACCTGTCATTTGCAAGATTCCAAGCTTCTTGTCTCAGTTCTGGGGGTGTCTCAAGGGCTGCAAGGTAGTTTGATATAAATTTATGAGGATGTTTGTCATGGCAGATGAAACCCATCTCCTTCAGAAGATGCCTCTCTGTTCTATTCAGGTCCATTTTCAACTCTGCATATTTCTGTAAACAGGCAAAACTCAATTCCAAAGACAACAACTTGCTTTGAGAAGAAGACGCATCAGGCTCTGTGACTGACTGGGTCTTCCAAAACTAAATATTTAATTCTCAAAAAAACAATAAAAGCAAAGATAGAGAAAAAAAAATTGGATACCTTTCACGAAGATCTACGTGACCAGGCGATTAAGGACAAAGAAGAAGCAGATGGGCGAATTGCAGAGTTGGAGAAGTCATTGGCAGAAGAGAGGGCCAAAATGGCTTTTGAGAGGGCGGCATTCCCCGACTTATGCGTGGCGATTGTAGAGCAATTTAAGGAGTCTGTCGAATTCCAGATGGCCATTGATGCCGCGGTCGCCAGAAGTATAATTTAACAGTTATACCAAATAGGTGAACAGTTTTTAATTAAAGTTATAATTTATAATCTGTTAACTTATAAATTATAATCTGTTTTAACAGTTGCACCAAACAGCCCCCTATATATAGTGTGACTTGGACATAATTAACAACACTAACCCTTTGCAGCATCAGGAAGACAGCTTTCAATTGGTTGCTCAGGATTGTCCTAAGATTAAGAGGAGGATTTCAATTACAACTGAAAATAAGTTGAGAAGCCAAAAATTATATAACTAGACAAATGCCAATACCACAACCACAACACAACAAACTTCATGGCTGATTGATTCGCAAGTTTGTGTGCATGTGTCAACATACGTTGGGGACATTAGAAATGATTGTTTGTTGAAAGTTTTTTTTTTTATTTTCATTTAAAAATTTACTCATATTTTTCTGTATAATTTATTTTTCTTGCTGTTATTAATCTAACCAGTAAATCAGAAATGAAATCTCTTATAATTTATTTTTCATTTTTTATTTTTGTATTCCTCCATTTTTGTTATTTGTGCTTTGCTGCTGTCAATTTACCTTTACCTTTATTAACCTAACCAGTTAGGTCTATTATTAATTCAAGGGTTGAGTTGAGTGCATCAGCCTGTCAATTCACCTTTAAAAATCTTCAATGCCCCTTCTTTGATGATCTTCTATCATGATATATATATATATACACATGTGTCAATTCGGTTGAAGATTATATTCTAGCAATATATATTTATAAGCTTAATAATCAATACAAAAAAAAGTCTATTATAGGGGGGATCTCATAATGAGTAAAAATAATAAATATTTATTTTTGAATAAAAATTGACCTTCTAACTTTTCAATTTAAATTTTTAGAAATCTATATATATATATATGAAAAATAGTCTTTTTAAGAACAATGATTGTGAAAATTCTAAACTCTCAAACTAATTTTGTTAATTTGTTAATTTTTGAAGAAATAATAAAAAAAAAAATCCATTGGTTAGTTTCTTAAGTAAAAAATCCAAAAACAAAAAAAGTTCTAATTATCTACAATTTTGAATTTTAAAAATTCAAAACAATATGATAAGTCACCCCCACACTTTTCAAAAAATAATATTGATCAAAACAATTCAAATAAAAAATAAATAAAGACACTAATTATCTATGATTTTGAATTTCAAAATTCAAAATAATATAGTAAGTCACCTTCATCCTACTCTCACCTTTTTCGAAAATAATATAAATTTTAAATTTTAAAACTCAATCAAATTAAAATTTTAATACAATTCTCTCTTTAAAATACTCAATATTTGATCTTTTTTCCAGTCCGGCCAACTCCTCTCTAAATGTAATGATGCCATGGTTATTCTCTCTCTTTACCAATAATCCAAACTTATTTCAAGTTTATTTTTTTGTGATTTTTTTTTTTTGTAAATTTTTATTTTCGTGTGAGTATTTTTTTTTCTCTATATAACTTTTTTTTTCCAATGTATTTTTTTTTCCAACTAAATTCATAATAAATATATATCTGTTAACTATCTTTGTTTTGGGAGTTGATTTGAAGTTTTTTTTTTTTGGTGGATGTTTGTGTATTTCTTATATTGTTATTATTATTTCTTTTGATATATGTGAATTGATAATATAGTTATGATTTTTTTTTTAATTTTTTTTTTTATTTTATAGAATAAGGCATCTTATATTGTTCTTTATGATTTGGCCATTTTTTAAATTTCTTAAACAAAATTTTCAAATTTTTATTTGTAAAAAATTAAAAACATTTAATTGACTTGCCATCAATAAATAAAATTTTAAATAATGAACACTATTCCATAATTTATGGATTTAAAAAAAAAATGTAACACCCATATATGGAATAAGAAAACCTAAAATCACACATTTTTTTTATTTTCCATTTTTAACTCTTTAAAACTCTAACCGTATTTTTTTATTTCCACAACATTGTCTTTTTAGATTTACAAAGATAAAAAATTAGACTGGAGTTACATAATTGTTAGTGGAGGTGGTGAGCATAGCAACAACAATGGTGATGATGAGTTTGGCTAAAGCATTGTTTGGGTGGATTTTGAAAATGTGAATATTAAAAAAATAGTAGATAGTTTCGGTAATGAATTGATTTAGAAAACTAATGTGATTAAGATTAAGTGTGAATTTTACCATATAAAAATTGAATATAAATCATATATTGTTTTCTATATATAATTTTGGGTACCTTTGTATAACTATAAAAAATTATTGTAATCATATGTTACTTATCATTTGATATATTATTATTGTATTATCGTAATGGATTTTATTATTAATGTCTATTATCAATGCAGTGGTGAAATGTCAAATGATAAATAAAAATATGTTTTGTTGTTATTATTATTGATAATATATTTCTTTATTTTCCCTTTTACAATGTTCAAAAAATTAATTTATATTTATTGTTAGTTTTTATAGATGAGAAGTCAAAAATAAATTTTAACCAAATTCAAGTTATAACTAATTTGAGATTGAAAAGGAAATTTCAAAAGAAATTATAATTATATATAATATTAAAATATTTTTAAAAAAAATACAAACAAAAATTGGAACTATAAATTAAAATTATTAAACAACCTAATTCTATGAAAAAATTTAAATGAAAAATTGATCAAATTTGAATTTATAATTATTAAACATTTTTAATAAGCCATTAATTTTTTATTTAGGTTATAGCCTGATCTCGTCTTAAATAGTTTTTCAAATATAAATATATCTTAATATTGATACAATCAATATTAGACATATTTTAAAAAAGATAAATTATATCGATAGTCCCCGCATTTGCTCTTGTGTCAATTTGATCTCTGTAATTTCGATTAGTTTGATTTTTACCCCTAATTTTAAATTTTGTATTGATTTAGTCCAATTGATAATGACGATTAAGATTTTTGAAAGAAAATAATTATTGAGTTGGTTGAGATTAATTTATTGAGTTTAACAAATTTATAATTTTGTCTATAAAAATATAACAGATACTACTCATATGTATATTTTCAATAAAAAAAAAAAACACTGACAATTATAACAATTGAACCAAATTGAGACAAAATTATAAATTTAAGATCAAAATTAAACAAATTAAAATTACAAAGACAAAAATAACACGAGTTAAAATATAATGATTACCAATATAATTTATCCTTTTAAGAATAAGTACATAACTTCTTAATTAATTTTGAAATTATTAACAAACATACCAAACAAATGTATACATATTTCCTATTTTTGTTATAATTTTTAAAAAAAATATATTTCCTAATTAAAAATTAAATAAATAAGTAAGTCTACTAACTCACCATGCACATTGCAACACACAAGGTCTCCTTGTCGAAACAGTGCATCAACACAACCTTTTCGAGATCTTCACCAAGGTCCTCACCGATTAAGGCATCAATATTGAACTCTTTCCTCCAAAGGATTGTGTTCCCAAGCATTGCAATTGCGTCTTTCAGCTTGAAATCTCTGGGTCATAAGAATTTTAGTAGAATCACATCAGTTCTATTGTTCATGAACAGCAGCACACCCCAAATCAAAACCTCCTTGAGTGGGGCATCGGTAATCTGAATCTTCGCAATCTCAACAATCTCTTTCTCTACAACCACTGATTCAGGTGACTTTTCTTCGGATTTTGGTGCAATTTCTTCGACAATTCCCAATTCTTCTGAGATGTAGGTTTCGGTATCTAGAGGTTTTGGTGCAGTATCAGAAGTGGGTTCAACTATTACCGCCGGAATCTTTTGGGCTGGTGGTGGCTCTTGCACTTTGGTCGCCGTTGGAGGAAGTGGGAGGGGTGGATAGGTGAACTTAAGAGCCTTTCTTTTGGAACTCTACTGCTCTCCTCCCTGAACAAAATCAACAATTCAAGGACTTTTCGGGGGTCAATTGGCTTTGGTTTCTCTGATTCAATTACTTCTACTACAGTAGGCTAGGGTTTTGGCCGTGGCAAACAATGACATGGAGGGTAGGTGGCGGCGGGAGATGATAGGAATGGCTAGGATTACAAGGTTAAAGATGAGATTAAAAATGGAACTTCACGGTTGGACAAAATTAGAATTTAAAAAAAATAAAAGAGATGGAGGTCCAAAGAAGAAAAATAGGTGCTAATAACAGCACTCTATTATTTTTCCATCTATGTAACTAATAAATTATTGATGAAAATGAGTTAAACATTATGCAAAATAAAACATTAAGAGAATCCAATATATTATGCAAAAACCATGCAGCTAGCTAGATTTTCTCCCAACTTCAAGGGAGGACGGTGTAATTTACGCAAATAAAAACATACTTTATCTTTGGTATGGATATCTGAATGCAGGCCATCCAAACCATCTTCGCTAAACCATTAGAACCTCATTTGACAATAAAAAGGCCAAAACTGAACCCCAAAATACACTAGTGAAAAGAGAACATGGAAACTCATACGTTCACCACCAATTTCTTTCACTTAACAGGGCAGAGAGCGTCACAGATCAATAATTGTCTTGGCAAAAGCCAAACCATCCCAAGAGTGTAATATATATGATGAAGATTGATAAGACAACATTAGTCTGTGCTAAGAAAATTTAACCAAACTAGAACCTCTTAATATAAGCATGCTGAAAGAATTCCATTGCCCAGAAACTAACCTACCAAAATCTAAATATGAAGAAACTATAGAACTCGCCGTGGTGATTTGAATTGATTAATTGCATGCAACTCAAAAATACAAGTTTTCGAGTATCAGTTGATCGCGTCAACTAATGATACAAGTTACTAAACTGTGCATGGCTAGCACTCGGTTTCCTTGCATAGGGTTACATGGTTAAAGAGGAGGTTGGTGTAGGTGATTCAGAGGATTCCAGTTCAAAGATCATGACTGCTAACTCAGAAGGATCCTCATTCCATCACTT